TCCCCTGCTCTCCAGGACCTCTCAAAGATGATGGAGAGAGGCTGAGCATGGGCTTTGGAGGAGCAAGGCAAAAGCCTTGTTCCTAACAAGGTCCTTTGAATGGCTGGAGAAACGTTAAGTTGCACTGAAAGCTTAAATGCTGTTGTAAAAAGTGGTTTTGTGAGATTAAAAAAAATAAGCTAGAGAGGGAGAGACACACTTTGCATACAAATAAAGAAGCTGTCTACCTTGGTCATGTTGGGTGGCCTTCAGCAAAAAACAAGAAAATGTTACCTTGAGGTGATAAGAGTAGCAGTGTGAAGGGCTCCCTTCAGTGGAGCAAGTTACATAGCACAGGCCTGATTCCTTGCATGAGCCACTCTGTTGTAGCAGACCATGTACTCCTGAAAGGGAATGGCATGGAGCTACAGCTCCTCCCAGGTTTCTTTATGTCCACACTCTTATCCAAGTAGAGTTGTGGTAGTTCTTCATGATTTAGAAGAGTTGAGTGTTTTCCAARCAAAGCAAAAATGAAAGACCAAAACTGAGAGAAATCTTGTGCTTTCTCTGTCTTCTCTCTTATTTTTTTTTATGCTTCCTTGGAAGTTCACTTCAGTAATTTTGTGCCATCATGTAATTTGATTCAGATACCTTGGTATCTGCTCAGGAATCTCAATATCTTTCCCATCTGGAGAGTTAACAAGAGAAAATACGAATAATTTGTTTCCCTGGATTATGTTTCTTAACCCAAATAAGTATATAGTTACTTAAACACAGCATCTGTCTAATGTGCGTCTTCTGGTGTTCTGGCACAGCATAACCGTAGGACACAGTGTATTGCAACAGGCTAATCCTATTTTAAAGTGAGTGGGGAAGGACTCTTGTTGTGCTGTAGTGACGACCACAGTGTCATCCCTTTCTGACCACCAAAATGTCATCTTGAAATACCTACAGTGGCAGCAGGGTAAGAAGAGGTAAATGAAATAATTATAGAAATCAGGTAATCTTCTTTTGGTGTCTCAAGCATTAGAATGCTTATATTTTTTGGATGTTAATGAGCAGGGGAGCAGTAATATTGTTTGTGTAATGTCTGCAAATTTTTGTAATTTGGATTTTTTAAAAAATGAAATACAGATTCTTTTGATTGGGATATTATACCTTAGATTAACAATGTCCCCATGTTGTGTGTCTGATCTTTCCCTGCACAGCCACTAGAAAGGAAAAGGAATTACGTGGCAACTCTTTCCCAAGTGCATCGGGTATATTTTTATTTTCCTTTTGTGATATTGTTATTATCCCTACTGTAAACAACAGCAAGCAGGGTGAGTCCGGCTGCCGTATATGGTCATGCCACTTGCATAAAGTGAAATGGAGCAAACACATGAGAGGCCACACATAATAAAATACACAATAAAATGGGTCTGTGAGCTGTCCTGAGAATATCCCATTTTCTTCTCCATGGCATGTTCACACAGAAGCGCAGAGAAAATAGTATGTCACGACATTGGTATGTGGAGGGCATGCCTGCTTATTTTTAGACCCCTAAACACTGGCAGGAACTTCTGGCTTAACCTTTATCTGTTGCTTGGCATTCTGAGGGCTGTAAATCTGCAGCAGTAGCATTGCTTTATTTAAAGTATTCTTTGAATGTGCGGTTCTTGTCTGATGTATGTGGAAAAGAAGGGCACCCACCTCCTGTGAAAGCAGGTGTGGTTAAGTGCTGCTGTATCCAGAGGCAAGTAAACCCCTGAACTCCACGCTTTGGAGTGGAAATTGGTGTTTCACAGACAGTAGTGCCTGAGCAGCATGTGCAAAGGAGAGGAAGTAGGTACAGGTATTCCCTSTCATTTAAGAAAGAAGAAAAGGTCTGGGGCTCAGGAGGTGTCATCAGTGTCTGTCAATGTGCGTTGTGAAGAGCTGGGTTGTTTCCCCTTCCTTTGCTACTGCTGAGAGTTGCAGACATAGCCAGAGCTTTKGCTTCTGGCCTGCTCTTGTCTGGAGGATGGAGGGAATAGCAGTGTTGTAGATACATGCAACTGGGACAGATTTGGAGCCTCTTGGAAGAGAAAGCCAAAATCATGGAGACTGCCATTTCATTTGTGCTGGATAGGCAAAGCCTTTAAYGAAAGGTTAATTTGTGACTGCAGCTGAGCACTTCCAGCTATCCAAAAAATTCAGGCGGGGATTATTATTTTTTTTAATGGAGACACACAGGTGTTATAATCACTCTTTCCCTAGAATGTACTAAGAAGAAAAAAAATATATATGAAGACTAATAGAGGAAATATTAGGAAATGTGCTAGCCGGCCTAGCATGTTCATACAGAAATTCCATTTAAGCATAGGAGAAAGCCTTTTCTTTTTGCTGTGAAGGCAGTCAAACACTGTAGCAGCTTGCCAGAGAAGTTGTGGGGCCTCCTCCATGTGGGGAGCTGCTTGCAGCCCAACTGGCCATGGCTCTGAGCAACACACCCTGGCTGCCCCTACTTGAGGAGCAGGGCAGGGTTGCATGGGAAGACCTCAAGAAGCGTCTTCCAGCCACAGCCTTTCCGTGCTCCTCTGATTAATGTGTCGGGCCAGTCTAGCCCCCACTGTGTTTGCATAGGACTTGCCCAGCTTCCAAGCTGCCTCCAGCTTTCAGAAAATGTGTGTAGAGAGAAAATGTGTGTAGAGAGAAAATGAGAAAATGAGAAAGATTCATGGAAGCTAAATGCTTTAAAGTAACTAAATAATAGCCTGGCACTACAAAGAATGAAAGCAGCAATGTCAAACTGTTAATTTATTTCAATAAATTCTTCATAACTTTTTTTTTAATAGGAGCACTTACTCTATTATCCTTTCTTACTCCTGTGTTATTTGTTGTTGCTGTTTGTGTTGTGTAAGATGAAAATTAAAGAATAGATCATCCCAACTGAGAACTTTTCAAAGTTAATTGATCAAAATAATTGATATTTCATTCATGATTTCACTGTTTTTCATGTTACCTTTTTCAATTACTTGCTGCTTAGCATCGATGTACACATTTTACACTCTTTCCTTAGTTTCATAGGTAGCTGAATTACAGATATGTAGAATTTTTTCTTTATGCTGGCTAGATGGTGTGTACTCCAAGCACTTTCCATTTGACCCATTACAATATTCCAGGGAATTGTATGCTAAAGGAGGCCACCAAGACCTACTTGGAGCCAGGTTTTGAGTAAGCCGGAGTAAGCCCGATTTTGCGTGTGGTTTGGATAAGCCCTACCTGGCAATGCAGAGCCGTCCCTTGGGAAGGCACATCCCCAGTGCTTCCATTTCAGGTCTGTTTCCTGAATTTGTGACCATTATGAACACATAGAGGAAAACTAGGAAAAAATGCAAGTGATACATAAGATACATTGAAAAGGTATAAAATCCATGAAGCCTCAGCATCCATAAACTAGAGGCTGTTGATCTCAGGGAAGAAGAGTTCTGCCCTTTTTCCCCTACTGATTTTAAATCCCAGCCACCTAAAAGTTACTTGCAGCCAACACTCTGATGATGATGCTCTCACTTACCTATAGTTCACTTGCTTGCAGTAGGGTTTGAGGCTTGTTTGGGGCTTAGTGMCTTGTTGGGATGCTAAGGGATGGGATAGAGTTAGTGACAGGCAGACAGGGGCAGGATCGGGTGCCCTGCAAGTGCAGAGCATGAATCCTCAGTTTTCGAGACAGGGATGGTCGGCAGTTGTAGGTGGCTTTAAACTGTTAGTGCTTGAGGACCGAGAGCAGTAATAAATAACCCCCCTTCCGCCCTGCCTGCTGCAGAAGGCAGAAGGGTTTCAGATAGAGCTCTTTAATTCTCTGAAGTACCTAAATCCARTGCCATTGCTCTGGCATTGGAAAGCAGACATGTTCAAATTGTAGTCCTTGCGTTGGGCTTCGCTCCCCCAGTACCTTTTTGGTGGGTCCTTCACCCTTGCTTTTCAGTTTCCCTGCAGTGAGTGGCTGATGTTAGACCCCTTGTACCTCCCAYGGAGTGCCCAAGGTCAGGGAGGGACAAGTGGTGCCCTCAGGATGTGCAGCCCGATGGCTGGGAGAAAACCTGACTCCATGTTCGGGCAGAAGGTCAAAGTCCCAAGCACGCTGTGTGATTTGATGCCTTTTGATTTCTTTTCTAAATGTGACAGTGTAAACCTATATAAAGTGTAAAACTGTGTAAAACTATAATAAAGTATAGATTTGCAAATACAGTGCTAAATATTTTTAAAACATTTTTTATGGAAAAAATGAAGTTGTTTATTATTTATTATTATTATTCTATGACAAATTTTTAAGGTACAAAGTGGAGGCATCCTTTTTCTGTATGTTACTTGTTTTTAAATACAATCTTAGTTACGTTTTAATTGATACCCATGCAGTGGGCCTGATTCCTCATGGCTTGTACAGACCATTTTTCTCTACCAAGTGATCCCAGAAGTGCTTTCAATTCCATCTGAAAGCATTTTTAGATGTGTCCCACACACCTAAAAYGTATAGAACACAGCTCAAACTTTCACTGTGTAAAGAGGCTACAAGGCTATGAACGATCAGGTCTAGCAAAAGCTGGGCATAGTATTCATAATATTCTTTGCAGATAAACCTGAACTGTAACTTCTGCTGTTATTTTTGCCTAGGAACTGTGAGGATGTGTTATCAGCTGAAGACTGTGAAACCCTGTACCAGTTTGTTTATGCCACACACCGCCCGCTGGCAGTGGCAGCTGGGGAATTCCTTTATAAAAGGTATCTCTGCCTGCCCCTTCCRCCTGCCTACTTTTTTTGCACGTCCTTGTTTCAGAGTGAATGTAGATTTATTTAAGCATTTAGTATTTATATAAGTATTAAGCATTTATTTTTCTGCTGGACATGTGAAGATATGAGGATAGTAGATGTGCTTTCTTTGTTAGACCTGGAAGAGAAATGCTGTTTGGGGAATAATCGTTAWGTCTCCTGTGCAGCCCTGACATGTTAGGCATGAGGAAAGTGCAAGGCTGGAATATATGGAACAACTGGCTGCTGCACAGGTGCTACACCAGATTAAGAGTTTACCACCTTTTCATTTTCTTTTTTTTTCCCTGTTGCTTTGCTTCTTACAAGCTAATTCATCACCTGGCATCCGCTGGATTTCCATAGCTTWAGTGATTAATCACAAAAATGGCCTCCTCTTCTCCCTTTGGAAGTTGCTTTATACATTGTAAAGGCTTTGAATAATGAGAGATGCAGCAGATTAAAAAGCCTCCCAATTTTCTGTCAGGTTAATGAAGTATAGGGTTTATCTTCCCCAGGAGTAACTCTTATAAATGGGCTTCTTATAACAAAGGTTGCATAAAGTGAATGGAATTGGCATGCTAAGTAGAGAAGAAATATTCTGTCTCTACAGTTGAGAGAAATAATTTTTGCCTTGCAAAGGGGAATGAAAGTAAAAATATTTTGGCAAGGTTGTTGTAGGGAAACATTCAGAAATAATAATGATTTGTCTTTCTCACAAACAGAGAATGTTCTCCAAGCTGTCCGTTCCTATCCAGCTGAATTGCTGAAATTCTGGGATTTGTGGAGCCAAGTCCCACAGCAAGACAAATGAGGATAATTTTTTGTTTGATGAGTCTTTTATGGCATCTGCTAGCCTTACTTCATCATTTCTGTGGGTCTCCTTATTGTATCATAAACTGTCTGTTTACCCCCTCGGAACACTGCTGCTTTTTGCCACTGAAATGATGGCCTTGATAGCTTTACTTTTTATACCCAGCCTCCCAGAGCAGCATGGAAGCTGTGACCCTGTAAACTTCACCCGTGTTCTTTTTTTGCCTCGTTCTTCTCTTYCCTCCTTCTACCATCATATAAGGGATGGTTCTGCTGTGGTAGAGATGTTAGTGGCACCCTCCTGCTTGGACACACAGATAAAAGTTTTAGTATAAATGCTCTGTGTGTATGTGCCTGTGAAATCTCCTCAATGTCTGCATTTTTAACTTGGGTTACTTGCTGAACTGGGCTAGTTCAGCACTTTTGGAAGTTTAAGCTTATGCCAACATTAAGTCGTGTGGCCCTGCTGTAAATGCAAGTGCTTTAGGCTTTATGTTAATCTTTGGGCGTGGCCTCCCCCTGTGTATTTTGGGGATTAACCTTCTTCATGAGCAGTACCGTCACACTCATTTTGGATAAGGGAGAAGTGAAAATTGGAATGAAGTGTAATATGCTTTGTACATTAGGCAGAAGAAGAACAACAGTTCTTCTAGTGTATCTGAAGTTGAATACATTGCATCTTGTAAATACAGGATATTCTGCTTTCTTTAATGAGCTTCAGTGCCAAGCTGTACCTTAAGGTGACAACTAGCCGAGTAGTGATGTTTATACTCTTTCGTTAACATTTAAATTCAGCCTACAGCAAGTACCTGCTCAAGTGTGAGCAAATGCCTCCCCCATTATATGTTCAGCACTGTGGAATCTGCATCTGCTGTCCAGAAAGTTGGCAGAATCCCTGTGAAACTGTCACAGAGAATCTCTGCATTCATAAGGATCTCTGACAGTGGAAAACAATATAATCTCTTCTCCTTCCATCTGATAAAAAAGACTAATATGATTTGAAATAAAGAAGTAGATATTTAGAAGACATATGGTTCTTGATGTCTTGACAAAACTAGCGTTACACTGGCCAATGAACTTAGGGAATATGTGGCATAACCGGATTGACTTTTTTGTTGGCAGGCTGTTCAGTCATGAGAGGGGTGAAGAAGCTCTGGCCAAAAGAGGAGAGAAGTTTGGGGAGAGTACTAACCAGTTGAAAACATTAATACGTTTTTTCCTGGAGACTGAGGTGAGGAGAATATCCCCAGCAGTAAGTTTCTTACACCCAGTGTTCAACGTTTGGTTGAGTATTGGCTTCCTTTTGGACTTCTTGTTCCCTTGCTCTGCGCTGACTGGCTGAGATCATGGAGTTTTGTCTGTGCTAACAGACCTTTCTAGGGGGGTTTATCAGCTTAAAGGCTCTATCTTATCAACATAGCTTTTGGTATGGTCTGCACCTGCGTCTGGCCAAACTGCCTCAATCACTGCAGTTTTTAATCTGCCTGTAAAGAACTTCATCAACATCTTTTAAAATGCTAACTCATTTCTAGCCCCAAGTTTGGATTTGTAGTTATTGTGGGCAGCAATATAGAAGCAATACAGAAGCTAGTTTTAAAGAGATTACTTAAGTTACAGAAGAAAGCCTAAAAAGAGGAAAGAAAAGCTTTTCTCTTTTTTTTTATTTCTCCTTTTGCATCAGATTAAAGAAATGTTGTTTAACATTGATTAGCCTCAAACCAAGGATGCTGGAGAACTGCATGTGAATGTATGTATGTATGTATGAAAAGCTTTGTAAATGGAAAAGGCAGGAAGAACATATGAAACTTCTGAGCTTTTGTTTCTATCCTGTAGCTGCACCAGCATGTCACGTACCTCGTAGACAGCTTGTGGGACCGGGCAGGCAAATTCCTGAAGGACTGGGAATGCATGACCACTCTTCTGTTAAAAAATGCTGGAGAAGAGGGAGAAGGTGCGTCAGCAAAGAGCTGAGCTTGTCTGTATGAGTGTCTTGTTTTCTGAAATTTGCTTTCAAACAGTTTAGGATCATTCCACCATGCACTGCCCTTTGGACTCTGATTGTGGTCCTCAAGGGTCACTGGGATACTTGTAGCAACATACTTGTTTTTAGTTTTATGTATTTGTATAATCTTAGTATAGAAACTTTATGTAATTAAGATGTAATACTTAAGYACCTCTGACTTAACTTGTTTGTCTAAAACTTAAGAATCTGAGAGTACTGACTGATTGAAGTGTGCCTGAAAAGAAAAAAAAATACTGTGTTGAAGTTGTTGTCAACTAACACTTGAGACGATTAGTTTCATGTAAAAATATTTTAAAGTGAATTTAAATAGTAGTTGTGGAGGGGGTTGCATGATTGAAGTCAAAGCTAATGGACCGAGAGGGTTAAAGCTTTCTGTGAATCAGAAAGGCAGGTGTGTCCTAGGTGAGATAGCTGTCAATAAGGATAGGCTGGTGGAAGCTGCCTACGTCTTTGGAAGCCTAAGTGCCCTAAAAAGGTTGGCCATGAGAGGAGTAATTGCTTTTGTGTTCAGTTAATATGAACTTTTTTTTCTTCAAGATAAGCCTAATACTCTCTAGGTATTTCTTCAGCAACATTGTGTCTTTCTTCATGTACTGTCCTTTCTCAGTCGCTCACATAAGYGGTAGGCTTTTCATTATCTGTTGCTGGGTCTTCATTTTTCCTTTGTGTGATGCTGAAAGGAGACTGCTTTACTTGCAGCACTGAGTGATGCCCATGAAAGTGCTCTCATTGAAATCATCCTCGCAACTGTCAGAGAAGCAGCAGAAGGTCATCCACCAGTGGGCAGAGGTGCAGCCAAAAAAGTTAGTGCATCTTACTCTGATTTATTGTGCTGTAATCATATTCTCCTTGTGTTTTACCAAACAGCATGTTCCTAGGGGTTGGTAAGTCTTCAGGAATAAAAGAGCTAGAAGAGCTTACTTTTTATGAAGTGACACACTCTTTTTGACCTCTAGGCCTTATTAGAGGTGGATGTTGAAGGGTATGATCACTAAATGAAAGCTAGTGGAAGCATGTTATTGATAAAAGGGTGAGCAATTTTTCCATGATACACAGTTATTCAGTGATTTACATCTAACTTAATTACGTGTAGCCAAGACTAAAACCATCTGGGTGACTCTGTGGAAAGGTGTCTTTACTTTGTCTTGAATTATTTTAGATAGAGGCATCTGAGTTGAGCTTGGGTTAAATGTAAATTTTCACTCAGATCTAAAAGATTTTGTGATTGAAACAAAATGCTTTGTCTGCAGATTCTGTCAGTGAAAGAGAAGAAAATACAATTGGAAGATTGTACCAAAATTACTGAACACTTTATTGTGGTGCTTCCTCAGCTCTTGGCAAAGGTAACTAGCAGCTGCTCTGTGAATGTTTGTTAAATATTTCATTAAAATTCCTGCGATGTGCTCATATCCTGTTTTTTTTTTTTTTTTTTTCCTTTGCAGTATTCAGCAGATGCAGAAAAAGTGACAAATCTCCTGCAGATTCCTCAGTATTACGATTTAGATGTTTACAGAACAGGACATCTAGAGAAGGTGAATAGGATTTGGGGTGGTCGGGCGCATGTGGAATGTACCAAATTTATGTGACATGTACAGGGTTTAGTGTAACCTGGAACAAATAGCGCACTGTGGAGATACAGAGAAATACTCTCATACCTTAAGGAAAGTGATCTCATTCAGGCTTTTTTTGCCTTGGGGACTGCCAAGAACAGCTTTAGTGCTTGTCAGTTCTGCTCTGCTGTGACTGGCCTGCTGCCCTGGTGGATTATGATTTATGGTTTCATATGATAGGGCTGCCCTTGGGAACAGACCGGGTTCTTCGTGGTTGGGTGGGAGAGGGTGGGTTATGCCATGTGTCCAAGTTGGCATCTCCAGGAGTTCCTACAAAATGGGTTTTCATTCTTCTTGAAGACTGTCTCCCAGCTGCTGCGGGACAGGAGTAACTGAAAGATAAGAATGGGGATAATATATCTGCTGATGGGAGAGGGGTGGTCAGAAATGGATGGATGAAATCCTTGGAATAGCTTAATGTGCTCTCAATCAAGGGTGTTTACAGGGAGATGATGTTGTGCAAACACATCTAGGTTTTACTTTCGGGACAGATAGTTAACAGGAAGAAAYAAATGGCAAATTATGTTCTTTCATTAAGAATGAAGACCTCAGTTGCTGGGATGAACTGAAACCGGCTTCAGCCTCAGCTGCTGAGGAAGACATCTTCCACTGYTGAGAGGAAAAGACACTTCTCCTTTGCTAACACTGAGAGTATTTTTATGTAGTGCCAAAGGTGTATTGCTAAAGCAGAGCTTGAAACAGTTTTTAGGGAGATTCAAAGTAATTCAAAAGGGCTATAAATGCAGAAGAAAGCTGCATCCCATAGTTCCGCCTTTCCTCAGACTGGCATTTATTTGCTGTTGATTTTATGACCTGCAGTTATATATGGCCAGGTGAAATGTATCTGAAACATAAGTGGACTTGACCATAATTGAACTGTCATACCYCTTTTATTACTTGCAGCATTTGGATGCTCTACTAAGAGAGGTAAAAGACATTGTGACCAAACACTCCGATATGTCTGTCCTTGAGGCCTCCTCCAGGACTTATTACATCCTCTGCAGGGAAGAAAATGCCATCTACAGCCAGGTGGATTGTGCCCGAACTCAACTGATAGATGAGTTGGTGGGGCAGCTTAACCAGCTACTGAACGACTTCTGGCAAAAGGTGAGTGTGACTCCTTGTGGAGATGAACAAGACATTTCCCCAGCAAAAAAAAGGAGAGAGAAGTTTAAAGGGGATATGGAATCACCCTTTCTATCTGTTTGGTGGGAGCAGAGCTTTCAAAGGCAAGTCCTCTTTTAAAATGATTGATCGTTTAATGAAGTGCATTGACATTTTAGTGAAGTTGGTGTTTTTGGCAGGAGTGGGGTGGAAAATAGGGGTAGTCCACTGCAGATGCAGAACTCTTCATATTTTCTTGATACTCTGAACCTGGGCTGTGAAGTATACAATTGTGCTATATTAAATGTACAGTAATAGTACARTACTATAAATTGAAGTATTACTGTGCCAGAGATAACATCAATGAAGAAGTGCTATGGAGATCTGTAGATGATGCAGCTGTTTCTAAAAAGGTACAGTTCTGTATTTTTACATATTTAATAGCACACAAGATGACCTYTGTAGTCTTGTTTTGGCTGTGGAGACACTTTGAGGGAAATAAAAAGCAAAACCTACAGTCTGTACGACAGATTAAATCGCTCTGGGGTCTTTGAAATGATGACTTTTGCCTTGAAGGAGAACTGCAGAGTCTCCCTCAAAGTTTTTCATTAGTTCTAAAAAGCAGAAACAGCTGGTGGGATATGAATAGCTTGCTGGCTGAACTGAGCAGCAGAAGCCTGCAGCTGATCTGCTCAACTGCGCCGTCACGAACAGGTGCCATGCCATGGTAGGAGAGTTCACACTGGCAGGTTTTTATTGGACACTGGGATATTGTAAAATGTGACACGCCAAAAAATCCCCTAACCTCCTRTTGAGTTTATTTCGTTGGTCTCATACTCACATCTCTGTCAATGTGGGAGAATGTGTATTTATGAGAAACAAGATAAGTGCTAGACCAGGGATTCTTCAACTCCTTCGTAGCRTAATCCATATCTAAATAAAGAGATTTTGTCCTGGAACCCCTCCCTTCTAATTCCTGGTTGTACAGACCATCTCCTGTAATCACGTAGTATCCGTGTGGAAACTGCAGCAATTGCATCTATGGGAAAGTATTTAATGTATTTTTAGCTATCTTTGAATGTGATCTGGCAGCTGGAAGCGGGAAGAGCCAGCACCATGTGAAGAGTGAGCTTTCCACAGAGCCCTAGCAACTGGGGGAGGACCATGAATGGCCTCAGGGTCGGAGTTTTGGGACTTCTGCACTAGCCCAATCCCCAGGGGTTAACTGGTATTAGCAGGGCCACAGTGTTGGAAGATGGGTGTGGATTTGGCCAGGAACAGGCACTTCTTTATACACAATTTCTGTGCAGTCAAAATAAGTCATTTGCCTTTTGCTGTAGTGGAAGGTATGAGGAGCAAGAGTGGAGATGTAAGCCCCGGGAAAGGCTGGAGGGGAGCAGTTCAAGTCTGTGTGTTGGGAAGACATAGCAGTTACCTTACTCCACACGGGCTAATTCCCTTCTTTCTCTCAAACTTGCACAATTTAGGAAGAAGGTTTTTGTGCAGATGCAGGAGAAATGTCCCGGATCCACTCTGCTTTGAGAAGAATAGCTGCTTTTCATAAGTGAGATATTTCTTTATTTACACAGTGCTTATTTACTTCCCATAATTACTTTCCCTAATTTATTTTCCATAATTTGATTTCTGTACTTGAGTTTTAGCTAAATATTCTTGGAGAATGAATTACCTTTGGTGAGTAAACGCTTGGTGCATCTAGCAAGATTTTCACAAGAAGGTGAAAACAGCCCCTATGAGAGAGGTTGCAAGGTTTAGGATTTCCGGAACAGAACTCTTCTCTTGGATGTGGAATTCTGCTTGGATTTGTTAGTGAGGTTGGAGCATTAGCTCAAATGGGACTAAGAGAGACGGAGTGTCGGAGCAGACACAGAGGTCCCCTCAGCTGGGTTGTTACTGTCTCTGTCTTAGCTGGATGCTACTGCACAGTCTTGCTTTTTCTGGAATTTTCTGGGATTGCTTTTTCTGAGATTGTTTCCTAAGCAGGTGAGAGTGTAGATATTTGGGATAATTGGGCCAYGGGCTCGATGTCGCTTGTGTCTCCTGAGTGCTAAGGTTGCTCTATTTTTCCAGAGAGAAGTCTTAACACTGAGCAGCCTACAAGCACTGAAGAGTATTAAAAACACRCTCTTTTCAAGAGAAAATATAGTATTCTTTAGACCTTTTGGGGGCACTTTTAGAGTGTAGATATAACGTATAGAGAAAGGTACAGAAATTGGTTTTCTTTTCAGTCTTCATGGACACTCTGGGTGTATAGTGAGAATGTAGATTGAGAAGCTATGAACTAAAGCTTATRGCCAACACAAGGCCATGCAAAAATTGAATTTACTTTTTTTTTAAAATTATTTTTATAGTGGCAGAATTCACAGGGTGCCTCTCAGACAGTTTCGTTGCTAAGGGGGAAAGGTACTGACCAGCTTTAATGTGTCCTTGGAAGGTCAGTGCATTTTGTTTGCTCATGGGAGGTCTCTACGTAGTAGACAGTCACTTGTTTTAACATTAGGATCGTAGTGAGGGGTTCGCTACCCAGAAAACTAGACTATTTTTTGCGAGGTGGTTTGACTTAGATTTTGTTTCAAGTTATTGCTATACATTAGATGTAAACAAAAATGGCGTAAGTTTAACTTATTTGGTGTGTTGTCATTTCTTTTTTACATGCAGTGCCCATGATCTCACCAAGTGGAACCTTTATGACAAGACTTCAAGATTGCTGCTGTTTGAAATGGAACGTGGGGGTTTGTCTGGTCAGGTGAGTTGTTGATAACACAGGAAGAGAGTTTCCTTGTCGAAAGCAGGCAAATACATACTAAATATTCTGCATATGCCAGTGTCCTGTGGTGCARGAAGGGGTTCTTCCCGTTTCTCAGCTTGGGAAACTGAGGCTGCCTTTGCTGTAACTTAATTGGAATGAGTAGATTCCAAGTAGATTTGGAGACTTGAATCATCTAAAATCTAGGCTGATCCTTTCTCATGCGCACTCTTTCACCTTGATTGTACAATCTGGCTGTGAGTAGATAAGAAGCCATTGGACAGTGAGAACCCTGTTTTGCAGGTAAGCAGAACTGAGTATTTGAACTGGTTGCTTGCCAGTTGGCTTTTGGTGAAGGTGGTTTGTAGTTACCTGTTGCCTAAACTGCAGTCCTTTGGTTGTCTGGTTGCTCCAATTTGAATATTTTTTGTGCTAAGATGAAATTGGCACAATTTCCCTGGCATTACAAGCTGATGTGCCCCAGCAGTCACTGATGCTAATCGGGCACTGATTGCACTACAGAATATGGAGTTAGGCAGAAAGGGGTGAAATTCAGCTGGAAGAGAGACAAGACTGTAGCCCGTGGGCAGAGGTCTATTCCTTTAGACAGAGCATTGGAGCACCAAGGTTTGGCTTCTGCTATGAATTGCCTTCAGGAGGGGTCTGCCTTATTCAGACACTGGAGTGGGATCCTAAGAAGCAMCCCAAAAGTTCTGTGAACTCCCCATGCCATTTGAATGGACTTGCCAAGATGTGTGTTTCTGTTCCGCAGAAACAGGACCTCAGTCAATAAATAACTTTTTCAGGAGGCATCCTTTAGTTGTCTGTGAACCTATTAAGTTTATTTTGGGGGTGTAAATACCTTAAGAGGCAGAAATAGTAGTGCAAGGAGTGAGCAGAATGCCAGGCTTGAATGTTCAGTCTGTAAGGACTTTCATGTAAATAAAAGACATGTGTCTTTCTTTTCAGATGATCCTGCCAGCTCTCCAGTGCACATACTTTTCTCTCCTGTGGCAAGTGGCTGCAGTTGCAGAAAATTCTCCCAAGGTCGGCTACTCTGTATTATTTTGAAACCCAGGGGTGTGCTTCTAGAAGTGCAGATWGCTTTTCTAATCTCAGTCAGAAAAGACAAGCTTTCTCAAGATGATGATTCATGTGTTTTCTTGAAGAAAGCAAATTTAATTGTGACATTTTGTCTCTTGCCCCCTCTTCTTCCCCTTTCCCATTCTACCCTTTTTCTCCCTCTCTCTGCCCTCTTTCACTCTCCCACCTTTCTGTCTCTTCTGTCTCTTCTGTCTTTTCCCCTTCTTCCACTTGCCCTTCTCCACCTTCTCTCTTTTTTTTTTTTTTTGTTTGTGCTTCTTCAGTCTGCAAGAGAATAACTGGACAGTGGTTCACGTCTATTTTTACTGCAAAACATGTGCTACAAATTCCTGGTACTTGATGGAGATAAGGAGCTTGTTCTAGTGCCAAACAGTTTGTTATTTTCTCGTTTTAAGTATTCTGTGAAAACTCCAGGAAGTCCYATGGCTTTATTTTATTCTTATTTTCTTGTTTTATTTATGTATTGGGTCAGATATGCAGAAAGTTATTCCAAGTGTTTGGTAATAGCGTCCTCAGTCGAGTGCTCACTCGGAGAATTGGTTTGATGAGGCCCCCAAGCCCTACCAGCTATTTCCAAAGAYATTCCAATTTTAAATGCTAGAGAGAAAACCTCTCTAACGCTTTGATTCCAAAGCAAGCATGTACCTGTGCAGTTTCTCTGTGTGGTGATTTCTGGCGACAGTGAGTGTTGCTGCTTCTGTCACCGTGTCTCCTTGCTCCGGCGCTGCGTGTGTGTGGAGCAGGGCACTGACTGGCACATTTGTTTTGTGCAAGAAGCGCCAGCTGGGACACCACCCTTTTGGTGGCTGATTCCCTATCTATTSCTGGCTCGCTGCATTCCTGAGTGGGTGTCCACATCTCTCCCTGCTGTGATGTGCCCTGCCTTTCAGTGCAGGCACCATTGGCTTGACTGATAACGGGGCGGCACAATTCTCAACGTGGCCTTGCGCAGGGGAGCAGACTTGGCTGGGCAGCTCTGGGGCTGCTCCCACTGCAGAGCACCCAGTCTGGGTGCTGACAGAAAGCAGGTCACAGAGCAGAAAAGAGCATTTCCTGGACAGCAGCTCCGGGGTGTTTCTTCCTCCCTCTTCCCTAATGCTGTTAAGGCAATGTTTGCCTCCCCTTCCTCTTCCTCCCAGCCTGTCCTGGGATGGATCCTCTTTCTTACAGAGATGCGGTTGCATAGCAGGGATGCAGCCCATCCAGAAGGGCWCTGCGCTCCTCTTGACTGCCCCGACAGCTGGGCCAGGCAAAGGATCAGGAGGTCTTTGGTGTGGCACAGGAGAAGTCTCTCTCTCTCACTGGGTTTGCCCTGATAGAGGTGCCCGCACCTGCCAAAGTTGGCAGTGCTGTGAGCCTGGGTTACCTCTGCCCAGAGAGAGAGGGGAGGGCAAGTCCGAGAGGGCAAATTACGTGTTGAGTGCTGCAAATTTGGTAGGATGGACCAGAGTTTTTATTTGCTATGCCCATGGCTAAGTTGGACATTAGTAGCATTGTCTTTAAAGAACAAGCTGAAGTGAATTTTGCAATTCTGGGGATGTTTAGAGGATCACATAATAAATATCATTAGAGCTGCCTGTCCTAGAGATGGAGAAACAAGGAGTTTGTGACTTGCTGAACACCACTAGCCTGAGCACCTGCCCTTCCAGGATTTGTCACCTTTCTGCACTGGAGTGCAAGAAAAACTGTGTATTTTTATGGGTTGGCTGTTCTATCCCAGGATGGTTTCTGAAAGCACCTGTGGTCTCCAAAATGAATAGTAACTGTGGAAGAAAGCTGCTAACTGTTAAGTTTGCTCTGTAATTCTCCATTGAAGAATAGTCCCTAACATCTTAGGCCTGACACTTGTCCTATATTTCTAGGAGACTCTTTTGACATTAAGAAGAGAGCTGAGACGTTTCTGTCAGATTTGCATGTKCTTTCTCCACCATAAGGAAAAAGATATAAGAGAAAAGGTCAGTGTTTGTGTGTCACTTGATTGACATTTATAATCACTCCTTTTTAGATGCTTTTCTTTTCCTATCAGCATTTCCTTCTACTGATTTTTGCAATGTTTTTGTCTTTTAACAGAGGAATACCTCTTAAAAAAACCCTCAACCATTTATTTCAAAAGAAAAGTAAACTTATGTCCATAAAAGTGCTGCAAAAATAAGTGTTCTAATCAGGGAGGGGGYCTATGTCTGCCTTGTGCCAGTTGGTTCCAGTTGGAGAATCAAAGCCTGAATCTGAACGACTGAAGTTGRCAGTTGGTAATCGCTGGTAATTAGGCTGCCATCAGTGCATTTGTTGCTGTCATGTCTTTGCCAATGCCTGACAAAGGCATTATGGCCTTGCTATGAATATTATTTCAAAAATGAAAAATCGGGAGAAATTGTGCAGTGATTCGCATATGTTAAAAGATATTGTAGCATAATAGAGCTCAGCTTCCTGCCCATGCAGATGTTATCCTGTATATGCTATAGCCTAAGGTAKGAGCTCTGGAAGGATTTAACAGTGGCATTTTAGCCTTGCAGTCAGGGCAAGTAGAAACTTTCAGCCTGAGAGGAGGAAGTAGAGTAGAAGCCAGGTCGTGATTTGTGGCTTGTAATGGATGTGAGAAGTGGAGCTGGTATGAAGAGCAACATGGTTTCTAAATCCTTCTTTGGCTTTGCTTGCTTGATACAGGCCTTCATGATACTCTGTGACTGGCTGCTGATTTTGAGTCACCAAGATTCAAGTAATAATGAAGCAGCAGGACTTCTAGATTACCTTCCCAGCACTTCACTTCARGAAAAGCTACTTTTGTTTATCCAGGAACATGTTTTCAAGGAGGAGGAACAGGAAAGCAAAGGTAGGCACCTTCAGCACTGAAGAAGCAATGTACCATTTTTGCTGGCCTTTGTCCTCTGCATTGAATATACCTGGGAAAAGGGCTAGTCTGCTTTTTGGTCCCTTAATAAACAGAATGACTAACTTGCCATTCACTGATTTATATCCACTCTGGCTCAACCACAGGAATATTGCCAAGAAGTAACACAGAGGTGCATGAGAATGTGAAAGCATCTGACAGACTGACTTTGGTGCTAGAGATTTCAGATTGTGTTAACCACCTTCCTGAAAAGCCTTGCAGTGCTCCAGGGTGACTTTGCCAATGAATGGAGAGTTTCAAAGCCATCAGAATAAAGAATTAGTGGATTTTGCAGCAAGATGCTAATTGTTGCTCTGTGGTCATTGTCAGATGCAGCTGCCGAGTAGAAGCTGTTATTGTGGAGGTTGGTTTCTTGTTTTGAAAAGAGATTTGTAGTTCATTGGGCTGTTGAGACTAAAGCTAAAATGTGCTTTGAAAATCAAAGCAGAAAGCAAGTACATTCCTAGGGTGTGCAAACTGTCATGTATTACCTGTAAGGAAATGGAATATTGCCTTGTGCCTCTGTGCTTCTGCTGCTTGGGTGGACTTCTGCGTCCGGTTTTGGACCTCATACTTTTCCAGGTCACAGTGTGGATGGCAAGAAGCCGTGAGCCTACATCACAGGAAGGGGTCACTAGGAGAGACTCCTTAAGGGCAAAAGCAGAGAGGCCATAAAAAAACATTGCCCAAGGAAACTGTAGTATCCCAGTGACAGGAGTCTTTGGAACAGGTTGTGTTTCAGGTATGTGTTGCATAGCTGAAGCTGCTGTAGTTGATCGTGCCTCTTCTTTCCAGGCCCATGCTGGTAGAAGCAGAAAGAGGCAAGTCAAAATTATAGGTCAAAGAGCGACCCTTTTGGGTCAGCAGATTGCATTCACAGCAGGAAAGAGTGCATCTCAGCTCTCCTACTGCAAGAACCTCTCAAGTACCTTCATAGCTGTGTAAGGAGACCTACACAACTAAGAATAGTTGGTTTTCATAAGTTACTCACCTGGCAATCAACCATTTTTACAAAGAAATAATATATTCATAATGACACAAATTATTTTTTTTCTTTCACCTTTGTTGATAACCACTTGGAAAGTTTCACCTGAGCTCTGATTGACTGTGTAGGGGAGCCTTTGTAGGGTTGCTGATGTTAAATGCTAGTCTTCTAGCATTTGTGGTATTCTAAAGAAAAAAAATGGTGACAATTTGTCTCTCGCCTCCATTTGGTACATTTGTGCTTTTTATTCTGCGCTCTGATGCAGTTCGGCAGGTGTGAGCAGTGTTGTACAAGGAGATTCTGACTAGGAGAAGTGAGAAATGCCTGTGAAGATCAGAATAGAAGACTGTGTAAATAGCTGGCTTTCACTGTCATCAGCTGGAGCTTTGAAATGGAAATAAACCTGTGTCTTCTGATATACACAGACATGAGCACAAGTGAACTAGCATCAGTTGCCTAGAGAGCTGGCTAACAGCTGAGCCTGAGTACAGAATGCAAGTTGGTCATTAAAATTTAGATGCTTTCACAGAACAAGGCTTCAGTGTTTTTGTTTCCCCAGCCCTGACAGAAGAGGAGGAGGGAARGGATGAAACCTGCAAACTGAATGCCCTGAACAAGAAGCGGAGTCTTCTCGCAGCGTATTGCAAGCTGATAGTGTATAATGTGGTGGAGATGGCTGCAGCTGCTGAGATCTATAAGCATTATATGAAGGTAAGGTTTTAGATAACCTTGTTTGGCTTATCAGTGCAGTTCGGTCGTTGAGAGTGACCCTGGTGTTCATGAAAGGTGTAAGGTTAATAGTCTTATGGCTYGGAATCTTTTCAATCATGAAAAGGCCATAAAACCAAGCAGGAAGGGCCCAAACCTCTCCTAACTGCACTGCAGACAGGTAGCTGCAAGTTGAGAGGAGGTTTTGCCCGAACATCTGCTCCCTGCCTCCTCAGAAGAGACCTCAGCAGAGGTGCATCTTATCAGTGGGACAGTTTATTAGATACAGACATTCTTACTTCAAAATGATCAACTCATTTCATACATATCCGTCACACAGCCACTCAGGTGGCTTGGATTTCCTGTGGTCCCCATGCCTAGACCTCCTAGACCTAGATAGAAGAGCTTCAGCCCCTCCAAAGTGTGGATCAGGAGGGCAGAGTACAGCACAGAGTGGGCAGGTGCCTTCTGCCGGGTAACAGGACTTTGGAAATACCTGAGTATGGGTCTTGCTCTGCATTTCATGGGGCTCAAAGGGAAAGGCCATATATAATAAACCTTCTCTTCCTCTACTGAAAACACTTGATTCTTTGTCATGATAAAAACTTAATCAGAGTAAGTTTAAACCTTTCATTGCTCATAAAGGAGCATACACTTTTATGTATAAAAATAATATAGAAAGGCCAGTTTTTATCTTCTGACTTGGGTGTGCTAGAGATTGTGTTKTATGAACTTATTTTGTACCTGAATGTTCTGTGTATTCCCAGTGCTACACAAGAGGAATGATAATTTGCATTTGTTTTCTTACTATTAATAGACCTACAATGATTTTGGAGACATAATTAGAGAAACACTAAGCAGGACGAGGCACAATAATAAAATTCAGAGTGCCAAGACACTGATTCTCTGTCTGCAGCAGGTAAGATTAAGATTAAAGGGGAGACCAGGAGCTCTTAGGACAGCTATATTGACATTGGAGTTCTTTACTTACCTTGCCATAATCATTCATAGTCATTCATGGAAGACATTCCCTGATTTACTTGTTATGTGTATGTATAGCCTTTCATAATTAGAACTCATTTCAAATCATTAAATCAGTTTTAAAATGTATTTTTTTGCATTTGTTTTAATCATCAGAGAGATAATTTTAGTGTTGTYTGGCTCTGTGGTTAAAGACATGGTAGGCCGTGGGACAGGGTTGGTGTCCCTGTGTTAAGCAGAGGCTCACGGTGTTCTTGGTGTGTTACCGACCGCCCTCAACTCCCCCTGGATTTACAAACCCACAGAGGTATCTGTGCCCAGACACTTGGGAGCCCCGGTTCCCTCGGCGCCTCTTTCTGCGGCAGGGAGAGGGGCCCAGCTCTGCTGGGCAGCCCGGCCTGCTCGGGCTTGCAGCTGCTGAGCGGGAGGCCCGGCGGCTCTTCCAGCAGCTGCTCCTGGCAGCTCCGCTCCCGAGCGGCACCGCTCCCGCCTTGGAGCCCGTGCGAGGGCTCCTCCCTGCGCGCGCCGACACTTGAGCCTTGCTCCCTTCACACTCATCGCCAGGGGCTTAGGTCTGCGAGCCAGCCCCTGAAATCTGAGCTCAGCTGATGGTAAGCGGCATTTGGCTCCGTTTATTGTGCTGACATAGTCAGGACTTGGTGTTTACATGTCTCATAGACACAGGCCCTCTTTGGCCTATGCTTGACCTTGAAAGCTTGCAGGTTGCAGGAAAGAAGCTACTTCCTTGCTTTGGTTAAGGGGAAAAAACCTGATAGCAGTTGGGCTTGAGCCTCTCCTTTGACTCGAGAAATTGGAGCACGCTGCTGCCAGACTTGCTGCTGTCTGTCTGTATTCTGATTTTCTGGAAACCTCCCTGGCAAATTTGGGTCCTCAGGCTTGTCCCAACAGGAAGGTCCAAGGGGTCATCATCTTCAAGGACTGGTTCTCTGTGTTTCACAGAATCATAATGGCTAGAAAAGACCTTCAAGATCATCAAGTCCAACCATAAACCCATCCCCACCGTGCCTGCTAAGCCCTGTCCCTAAGCCCATTGGACCGAGTCRGAGGCTGGTGACTGCTAAAAGCTGCCATCATCTTGCATCTGACTTCAGGCTCCTCTAAAATGAAGGTGGAGCAAAGCACATTAGCTTACGCAGAGACTCTTCTCACAGTGCCAATATCTAAATGAGAATTTTTCCCTACCGCTGTCCTCAGCAATGAGGGCAGGGGCTGAGGGGATGGTGAAAAGCACCCTCTTCCTCAGCCATAGCTAGACGTGGATCTTCCAGAGAGCTCACGGATCCACATTCTTTTTTCTTTCATTTTAAGTTTCTGTCTGTCAAGCACAGCAGTGTCCTTTGTGCTAGTTTCCTTGTGCTTCCTCCAGTGCTGTTTCCTTCTGGACTACATGAGAAGCCTCTTTTGCAAGRCTTCTGTTTGTGCGGATGTTCTGTTGCCTGGTGGGCATCTCTACATSCTGCTGATACTATCACAGAGTCACAGAATTGTTAAGGTTGGAAGGGACCTCTGGAGATCATCCAGTCCAGCCCCCTGCTCCAGCAGGGACACCCAGAGCACGGGGCACAGGGCGGCATCCAGGCGGGTTTGGAGACCTCCAGAGAAGGAGACTCCACAGCCTCCCTGGGCAGCCTGTGCCAGGGCTCTGGCACCCTCACAGGGAAGAAGTTCCTCACATGCAGATGGAAATTCCTAGGTAGCTTTCCTATGTAGTTCTGTCCTAGCTATGTAGTTTCCTATGTATACTTTGCTTGCCCTTMGGTTTACATATTTGCCATTTGGGGCCCTTTGCTTTGTTTTGTTTTTCCAGTTGTTTCAAAGGCACCTGGCAAGCCAGGACAGCCGCGGCGGAGYGGACTCGTCCTCCGCCTCCTTCACAAACGTGAAGGAGCTCGCCCGTCGTTTTTCACTAACGTTTGGCTGGGACCAGGTGAAATCTAGAGAATCTGTAGCCATGATACACAAGTAAGTGCCACGTAACGTCACTTGGTCCTTGGTTGTTGATTTTATTGCTTGTTTATAAAGTTACTTTGTTCTCTGTTTTTACCCTCCCAATAGGGAAGGAATTGAATTTGCCTTCCAAGGAGCTACCGGAATGGATGGAAAATGCCCRCCTCCTAAGCTCAGCTTTCTGTTAATCATCAGTGAATTTTCCAACAAGCTGCTAAAGCCTGACAAAAGACTGGTGTAAGTTAAGTTCTTGTGCACTGCCCTGCATGGGCAGTTGGTGGTCTGTGTATCCAGGGGGATAGGATACTTCACCTGCAGTGTTGGAAAAATTGCTCGGAGAACTTTTGAARTCAGTCAGCTCTTGGCTGGAGGGTCACTTGTTTGATCTCCACTCCATKTAGTTTTGCAGTAGCAGTTAGTCCAGGTTACATGGGCAGTATCCATTCTAGCCCTTTCTCRGACAGGCTCCTGTAGGAATTTTTCCCCCTTCAGTGGTGGAAGGGGTTTGCAATTTGAGCGGCCAATGGAGAAGCGGGAATGCTCTTGTGAAGAGAAAGGCGGGCGGAATTGCAGGGCAAGAGGAGACGCAGGGATCGTTGTTCTGTAATGATCAAGTTCCACAAGCTCSGGGCTGGGTGGCAAGTGCCATGTAATGGGCTTGCAACAGCAAGATGTCCGTGTCTCTATTCCTAACAGGGATGCTTAAAATGAAGAATTTGCTGTTTACAGGGAAATGGGGCCTGGTCTACTTCAAAGCTGCTGTGTTTTACAGTGGTTTAAATATTTAAATTTAATAATGTAAGAATAGTATCTTTATTCTGGCCTCACTGGGCATTATGTGTCCTTACCAGAGAGATGGATGATTATGTCTCATCATCAACCTTGGCTCTTTTTTAGGAAGGAAAGAATTCCCTTCTTTCTGCTTGCCCATTGTCTTTACTGCCCTGCTGGGTGCTGCTTGTTTTGGATCTCTGCAATTCAGTCTCCTATTTATAGACACTGTGAAAATTATTTCAAAATATGTAGTAGGTATTTCCCTTTTCCTGGGAGTGTATTTGAAGGCTTGTGAATTTAATATGAAACATTGAGTCTCATTTGTGAATTTCTGAGCAAATTAGTATCTGAGAGGAAAGGTTCCACTTTGGGTAGGATGGAAGTAAAAAGAACCAAAACAGCATACTTAGCCCCATGTAACCTGTTTGCTGCTCGTGCCGTTTTTCCTTGAATTGGAATTTAGCTTCCATGGCGCTCATCAACCAGGTTTTAAATAGCAAAGGTCAAGAACAGTAGAATGTGCAATTTCCTTTCTGTTATTTTTTATGGCAAATAGAATACATTACTAATTCCTACCTACTTGGACTATATTTTAAAAAATGAATTCAAACAAAAATGTTAATATAAGAAGAAATATTTAACATAGATTGACTAGAAACCTGGTAGGATAAACGGTATCTATAGGTAGCAATAGTTTTCCTTTTCATTCTTACATTTTTCTCAGACAGAGCCTTTGCCATACGCCACTAGCACTGGTTTGGTAGACTTTCTGTGCAACCTGACCCGTATGGTCTGGATTTTAAGCTGCTGCCATCATCAATGTGGTGACATTTGTGCAAGACGCAGACTTCTGGTAATCCATCTTTGGAAAATGTCATAATTTCATTTACCTCTGGGGAGTATTTTTAATTAAACAAGAAGGAAATACTTTATTATTGAGGTAGGCAGGATTAAGGCCATATCCTTACAGTTTTTCTCCTGTAGCTGTTTGTAACTTCCTGACGTACAGGTATATTTCAGGAAAGCAGTATTTTRTCCATTCAGGTAGGTTTGTTCATTGAAAGCTTTTGTGACAAATGCAAAACCTAGCTGGGAATGCTCCTTGGCTCTTGTTTCTACTGCCTTATACCAACCCACTGCTGCTGAGAACAAATGSGAAACAATAAAATTCACAAGGGGGGTAAATTGCAGATTTGTCCACAACTGCATTCAGACCGTGTTTCCAGAGTTTCTATTCTGGGAAGCTTAAAATGCCTTGCAGGGGCTGGAGATTATATTTCCTTGCAGAAATATTTAGGTTTAGCTGCATCATAAATTACTGGATGGAATGTTTTAAGTCAACATGAACTTTTGGAAACAAACATCTGGTTATTTTCATTTTTGTTATTAATCACAGGATTGATGTCCGGGTCGCTATATTAACATATGTGAACGTACCCCTAACAGAGGAGAGACAGAATAGGGGCGTTTGTTGGCAAGGAGTGTGTTTCAACACCGCCCACGAGCGTGGGTTCGAGCCCCCTCTTCCTGCATTGCTCAGAGGGTAGCAGCAAAACACCCGTCTGGTCACCTGGCCTGTCCCCAAATGGGCWGGGGACACGGGCGGTCGGGAGCAGGGCCGGCGGGGCCGGATCCCYGCGGGCAGGGGCAGCAGCAGCTGCTTCCAGCTCCTGCAGCAGCACCGGGGCCGGGCTTGAGTTGTCCCCACGTTGGTGCTTCCCCCGACGCCTCCAGCAGCAGCTCCGGGGCCTTGYGAGGCACCTGGAACGGCGGAGATTGGCCCGGCCACGCTCCTCATCGAGGGGAGGATGATAAACAGAGCGCACGGGCCGGTGCTAAAGCTGTCGCCGCTGGCACTTGCTGGGGTGGGGGCTGCCTTAACAACGYGGGGCTTGGTTTTGGAGTGACGAGCTGCAGCTGAAACACAGGGAATGCCCACCTTCCCATCCCGAATCCCAAGGCTTTCCATTTTGTGGTGGTGTGAGAGTGCAGTGGGTGAGAGGCTTCTGTCACAAGTAACCCTTATTTTCCAAAAGGAATGTCTGAAGGAGTCCTCCTTGCTCCAGAACAGGTGATAGCTTGGCCAGTAAATCATTGTGCCAGGATTTAGGGAGGCCCAGGGTCACGTTTCTGGTTTGAATCCAGCAGACCAGGGATTTGAACCAATGTGTCTTGCATCCCCCTCTGTTGTCATAACTGCAGTGCTGTTAATGCTTTTTGCACGCACTTGAAATTTTGCTGTGCACCTCAGAGAAATGGGGTGAAGCTGTTATGACGGTGCAAAAAAAGTGTTTGTTYTTAAAACATTAACAAAACATGTGCTTCCTGGCCCGAATTCCCCCTTTCCCACTCTGCTGCRTTACTGCCTCACAGGCAGGACCGCTCGCTTGGGGTCTCCTTGGCCTTGCAWGCAGCGAGGCAGGAAGAGGCCGTGGGAGAAGGGGAGCATCTTCTGCCCAAACTGCTGCCTGGCGGGAGCAGCTGGCAGTGACCTTCCCTGCCAAGGGATTCCTCTCAGAGACTGACGGAGCTGGGTAGTTCCCGGGAATCAACCGTGGTTTCTAATGCTGCAGTTGAAGCACTTGCTTAGCTTTGAAGCCATTTGCAGTGATTTTGATTTCCAGGAAGTGGGACAGCCTTTCCCTTCCTTGGCTGGCAGTTCCGCCTGGACTCGTTGGAGAGTCGAGGCAAACAAGCCTCTCCTCTAGCAAAACCTTCTATACCTTCTGTGGGTGTCGAGGGACAYGCCGCTGAGTTTGCTTACTCTTGCCCTTGCTTTTCTCCAGGTAYGCTTACTTACAGAGGTATGTAGCAGAGCCCCTGTCCTGCAGAGGAGACGAATGGCAGCCTCTCGTTTGGTACAGAAACTCCTTACTGGCAAACGAAGATGAGGAGAGCTCTGTCCTCAGCAGTTTGGGAGAGTGGTTCCCCGTGGGCACATCTAAGACGTCTGCTTTTAAAAGGAAATGGTCTAATGGTATGAAAACTTCACTGTCCTGGAGCAGCTGGGTCTGCCGTGTCTCAGCAAAAACCTACAGCTCCCTGCTTTCCATTAGCAGTACCRCAGTTGGGATGTTGCAGACTTTCCCATTTTAAATGTGTTTTTTCCTTCATCCTTGTTGGTCTTAAAGGCCTTTTCATCACTCACTTGGAGGAAGGTTGGTCTTTTGACCCTGAATATTCACATTATCCCATACCCTGCTCTGAGCTGTGGTGCTTGTTTGTGCCTTTGGGGCTGGGTTCATCACTTCTAGCTGCCAAGTTACGGRCACTGTTGCTCGGGGGGCTTGTAGCTATCGGGAGGGGAGACACAGACAGCTCCAGAAGGCRATTCACATACCTGGGCTGCATTATCCCCTGGGGCCTTTCTCTCCCTTGACTCTCCGGGGAGCTGCAGGACTGCAGTGACGTGGGCTGCATCCAGGCTTAGCAGCGCTCGTTGCCTCCCATCCCTGATGGGGTATTTGCCCTACCAGTGTGGTGGGGATTAGCTAAAGGCAGTAAAGCCATGATGAAAACAGCTGCCCTAAAAATGCCATGTGCTATGGACACGTATGGTTTGGGAAGGGAAGGGTATTTTTTTCCAGAGGATCCTGTTTTTCTCTCTCATTCTCTGTCCGAGTTTTTGTTTCCAGTGACCTGCCTTCAAGTAGCTTCTTCCTTAGTGTCCGAAGGGCTCCTTTCTTGAGGCCTGCGTAGATTTGGCAGTGCTGGTAACACTTATGGACTGGGAACAGGGTCATAAATCTAAATTGCAAAGTGAGCAGTGGGCAGGTTAATTAGATTTTTTCTTTCCCGTGTGGCTTTTAGCTGGGTCCTTCAGCAAATGAATGCTTTGCTCCAGGTCTCTCCTTGAGAGCTTGGTCTCCGTCACTTCCCCATGTTAAGAAACGCTGCCCTTGGAAACGGCCATGTCGTGACCTCCGGGGGTGAGGCTGGAGAACAGGGTCTGTTTTCTCTCCGTCCCAGGGTCCTTGCCGGACACCAGCCAYGCTGACGCAGCCAGCAAAGCTCCGGACTGGCACCGTGCGCCCCAGCTCGCCTCTGCAGCAGGGACAAGCAGGAAGAGGCTGAAATCCCGCGAGAGGCCCTTGCAGGAGCGCGTGCCACCCGTGGGCGCCACCGCTGCCGTGCTGCCGAGGAGGTGCCGGTGAGTGCGCGGGGCCTCGCCAGCCCCACTGCGCGGGGGCTCTGCAGCCCCACAGCTCTGCAGTCCCACAGGCCCCGTGAGCCTCGCGCCTCTCCCGTGAGCCCTGGCCCAAGGACACGCCGGGCGCTTGGTTTCCTCACACCGGTGCCTACATTTGCTGCTGCAGCCCCATTGYGCCTCAAAAAGACAAGAAAGAAAGAGGATTCCCTGCCCAACTTCTCTTCTCTCTAGTCCTGATCAGGGGCCTGTGGTCTCGTCTGCTCCCTGGCTGTTTGGTGCAGCCRGCTTCTCAAGAGGGGGTTCTTGTTTCTGCAGACCTGCTCCTGGCCTGCAGCTGCTGTGGCCTTGGTGCCCTGCCTTGAGGAAGGCTCCCATCTAGCAGTGCAGCCTGTGCGGAGCTGGAGGTGCTGCAGCACTGTGAGCCTGCACCCTGGCTCTGCAGCACACCCTGAACATCAGCTGGGGGGTCCTTCCCCATAATGCAGTTCCTTTACGGAGATGCTATGTGCCCTTTCCTCATGTTGGGAGATTAAAAGCTGAAACATCAGTCCCAGAAAGATGCATACTTTTATAGGGCATGGGACACTGTTCACCTGGATCTGTTAAATGAAAGTGAAATAGGAAAAAAGACAAAACAAAACACAGGTGGTTGCAGATCCAGCCCCCTGTTCTGATTGATTTGTTTCTGAACTGCTTTAGCAGAAATTCCTCAGAGCATAAGCTGTTCTGTACCTGGGAAATACTGGGCCAGAAACTTTGGGCTAGCTCAAACCAGGTCTTAATGTGGGAACTACCCTGCCTTAAGCAAAGCTGTGYAACGTAGAACCTCTCATAAGCAGCAGCTGCTCACGCCTTGGCTTTTTGTTCCAGCCAAGATGAGATCAAGACAGAAGAGGTCTYGGTAGAGGATCAAGCAGAAGACACAAGTGAAGACGCTGATATCGATGTGGTTGGTGCAGAGCAGGTGAGGGCAGGTCAGGCCTGGCTTTGGCAGCTCTCGGGAGCGGTGCTTGAGCCGGCTGAAGGCGAGTTCAGAACCACCTGGTATTTGGCACCCCGTTCCGCCTGAGGAAAGGGGGTAATTTCTCCCCTTTCCAGCCCTTGCTGGGGTCTCCATGTTCAAGTTGTTTATCCCATATCTGTACAATTCTTGGTGAAGCATCTAGACATCTAGTACATTGAGAACCAGCTGCGATCTGTTATGAAGACAATCCAGTCTCCTTTTCCCATCCTTCCCATCCTAACTCCTTAGTTAGGAGCTGTTTGCTGGAGTTGCTTCGTCTTCCTGGCTCGCTGTGGAAGGGGAGTTAGTTGCTGCAGGGCCTGCGGGCAGCGTCCGCTGCAGAGCGGGCTTCACACTGTGCCCTTGGACTGGGAGACTCACTGACCAGTGGCCAATGCAGGCACCTCTGTGGCACATCCCCCGGTTCTGGTCATCTCCATGAAAGCCTGTCTGGGAAACATGGGAATGCTGAGGGCTTGGGGGGMCCCCAGCAGAGCTTGGACTTTGCCTTGTGGACCCTGTTCAGCTCCGTGTGTGAGTGTAGCCACACTGGCTGTCTGCCCAGGGCCCAGCCAGGCCCCAGTGCTTGGGGCAGTGAAAGGTCTTCCAGGACAGGGAGGTGCAGGGTCTCAAATAATGTCCTGTGAACAGTCCCTATAGATAAATAACAGTCAGTAGGTAAGTGGATAGAGGCCCCATCTTTATTCTAATTCTCTGTGTGCRCCTACATGATGTTTTCTCAACAGTATGACTGAGTATTTTCTTTTTCCTTCTGGTATAGGACAGCTGAGGAGAAGCTGACAGGGGCACTGCAGGTTAAGAACCTGCTACCACCTCGTTCTGGAAACTGCTTAACTGAGAACTCGCTCGTGACAGCAGCAGCCAAGGCCTGGGTAGCTAAAGCCCAGCCAGCAAGCAGCAGATGGATATTAAGTCAAATCTCCCTGCGCAGGCACCCAGAACCAGTTACTAGTGCTGTGGCTGACCTCTCCACATTGCCATTCCTTGGTTCCAAGGGGTGGGAGTTCTGGGCATTATTGCTAAACGTTGCCCTCTGGCCTGTCTAGGAAAATGGTCCAGCTTAAGCATTGGAGTGGGGGCTGTTTGGGAACGGGAGCTCAGGGAGTGACACCACACGGGTGAGGCTGCCCTGCTCACACAGCCCGGGCTGCTCTTCTGCCCTTTGAGGTGACCAGGGCCTGGATGCCCCACTAGTCACGGGGGTCATGGGGAGAGCCTGTGGGCCCAGCCTGGGAACGGCTGTGGGGCGACGCCAAGTGAAGTGACCGGCCTGTGAGTGAGTGACCTCCTTGTTAACGAGCAAGGCTCCATCCACTCTTCCTACGAGTATTTCTGAACCCTGATATTTATAAAACTGTAGTTAGTGGTCTGTGGGAATCAGGGCCTACTCCAGGGAAACTTACATCAAGATGTGCAGCCAAAAAAAAAAAGGAAAAAAAAMCCCACCATGCACCAGCTAAGTGTTTTCCTCTGGTAGGAATTCTTCACGCAGTGATAATGTGTGGRAAAGCAAAGCTTGAAAATACAATGTAAATAGACTGTAAAAAAACAGCGATTCAAGACCAGCTTTTGCATGTTTCCAGAAATGTTGTTCTTAGGAGGGCGTTGGGGCAGCGAGGGGAGTGTAGCTGCCCCTTTGACATCCTCAGCGGCATCGTGTGCTGTGCTAATTATAGCTTCCATCAGCTTCATTTTCTTTATTCCGTTTTGGCTTGTRACTGTACAAAATAAACCACACCATACCCACTGCTCCCCGTTAGCCCTGGCCAGTGCGAGTGAGAAGGCCCCAGTGTGTGRAGAAGGAGCAGCAGGAGCGAGAAGGGCCTTGGCCTTGGCCCCTTTCCTTAAAGGCATCTGCGGAGCACGGGGCTCAGCGCTGCCCGGCCTCCTGCGGCACAGCYGGGAGGACAGGAGCAGCGCCTTGTTTGGACCCCTTCAGGCAGCCACCGGGCGAGTCCCCAAGCCAGGAACGGGGAGCTGGCGAGCAGGCCCCAGCCCAGTGCTCGTGGCCTTGCCGAGCTGAAACAGGCTCCAGCTGCTTCCCTCTCAGGAGAAGTTCAAGGTTGCTGTGGCCGGCAGCACTTCTCCCGACTAGGCTGTCGCACAGATTCTCACTCGGGTAACTTCGTTTTTGATGCCCCCGTGACTATGTCCCCCCTCACCACCTGGAGGTAGGTGGTGCACGGGCCTTCAGAAGCTGGTGTTCAGCACCAGGATCCTGCCATCCTCCACAACCACAAGACCCCACCTAAACACGGGCTGGGGAGGCAGAATAGACCTGGTAGACTCTTCTAAAGACTCAAGCCTCTTCAAGCCTCTTCATTAAACAAAGCAGCAAAACTGCCTCATCGTAGAAACCTTACTAGTTTGTGGTTAATGTCGCTGTGTGGGGAGAAAGGCCTTGGGCGCGAGCGTCTGGCTGCAAGTGCTTGTAAGAAGCTGGTGTCCAGAGGGAGGGGTGCAGGTAGGGGAGAAGGAGACAAACCTCTCCTGAGCAGCAGAAGAGGTTTGAGAGCTGCTCCTGGAGAGCAARCCCATTCTCCTCCTCCCAGGACCTCAGAGAGGGGAACTTAAAATTTTGAGAGGCCTGTACATASATACAAACAATTAAACAAGCTAGAAAAGCAAGGGTATGGGGAAAATGTCTGACCAACACTAAAGWAAGTCTTAACGGAAATTCTTAAAATTATAATGACCATAGTTTTATTAAAAAAAAACCTCAACATGTAGTAGAGGTAGAATAACTTGGGTTTTCCTTGGTAAAATTCACGGCCACCCATTAGAGATTGCTGATAGAGGTTTCCAAGTCTCTTTCTATAAAGCTTGTGATGAGCTGAGTGGAAAGCTACTAGAGCTTGATGTTGCTGAGTATGCAGCTCGATGCAATTACATAACCAAAATGCATACATATGTAACTCATATCATCTTAAATGGATATTTAATAAGTTAAGTGTATGTCATAGATGCCAGAGTAATTAGAAACGGTAAGCTACACGTATGAAAATCTTTATTTGAAAATACAAACATGATCTTTAAACATTTGAGATCTACACTGCAACCAAAAATAACTTACATCTTTTTGTACATTTTTCAACAAAAACTGTTTAACAGTAGAGTGAGGCAACAAGGTCAAGCTGCTGTGACACTGTTTGAATAGCCATGGAATGTGTCAATAGCAAACACCCGAAGGCAGGGCACACGCAGGAGCACTGAATGCCCACGACAGAGTAGTGCACATCACTGATCAAGTAACACGTAGACAGAGCACTTGGAAAAAATTGGTTCCTTCTACATGAATTAAAACACTCATTTTGGATCAAGTATGAACACAAAAACAGACTTCATTATTATTTTTTTTTTTTTTTTTTTTTTTTTTTTTTTTATAATGAACATCAATGAAACAAGTTTAAAAGGGCAAGCAAAGTTAAAAGTTGGGGCAAACAGGGACTACACAGAAAGAGGAGCCATTTGCTTCAGCCGTTCGTTTTCCATGTGCACTAATCCGCTCAGCTTGTCAAACAAAACAGCGTTTGCAGGAAATGGGAGCCRAGTCAGGCACTTGCAGGAGGCTCTTCCTGGTCAAGGCAAGAAGAAACCCCCCAGAAACTGCCCCGAGCGAACACACGCGGCAGGTCACACATCAGCTCCCTCCTTGCTTCCCACGGCGGGACGGGGACGTCTATTTACACATGGGACGGAGATGGTCAGTGCACCACACATCAACTTAGAGTTACACAGTCGTCTCTTAAAAACAGTATATTACTTTTCTCTACAGTCAAATATTGTTATTCTTCCAAGAAGGAATTATGCAACATCTATAAATAAATATTTTAATCTATTTTTTAAAAACTATAGGCTATTGAATAAATACAAAAAGTTTCATCATTCCATACAAATGCACTTCTTTAAAAGGTAGTCTAGTGATTAAATATTTTTTAGCACAAAACTCAGCTGACTTCCTGGAAACAAACCCCACCAAAACGTATAGGTGTGCGGCAGACCTGCTGCAGACTGTCCTTTTCCTTCTGCAAGTGTTGACTCCTGTCACTCCTCAAAGTCCTCTTCGTAGTCGTATTCATCCAAGTCTACATCAGCCAGGTGGGAAGGCACTTCAAAAAAAGGTCTCTTCTCCATTTGGTACTTGAGAACATTGGCCTTCTGGTGGTCTACAGGATTCAGCTCTGCTTCATAGCTGGAAGTGGACACGAAAGAAAGGTTAGGTATGTCKGGCAGTGCCTAAGGGCTACAACCCAAATGAGACACCCTGTAGGAAGAACCTTTTTCCAATATTCGTATTTCCAGAAGCACACAACCAAACGTGGCACTGTTTCTGCACCACCTTCATTTAAGTTACAGCTGATTTACTCTCCCATCATCATGTGCAGGCCTAGAGATACTCGGCCACAAAGACTGAAGGCACAAAGTGCTGTCGTGGGCTGCTCTCACCTTGCAAACTCTCAAAGGCAGGATGCAAATGTCGGACAGAAATCCTTCACATTTTTGTTGAAGAACCTCAATTAGAACAAAATACACCTTAAGTAGATGCAACAGAGTAAAAAATACTGAGAAATATTAAAATGGGCATAAGCAGAAGGGAAGGATAGTAAGCAACTGTATATTTGAGCAGATGCTGGAAAGCAAAAATCAGTTGTTTATACTCAAAATCATCTGGCAATCCTTAGAATAAAGAGATGGGCAGTGATAGGTAATGAAATGCAATATTTAAGTCCTGTCAGTGACGGCTGATATTTAAAAATACTTGCTTCAGCACTATTTAAATGGGCATGATATATAATTGATAAATGAAAGAAAGGAACTCCGGTCTCAGCAGAGATCTGTGCTGCCACATTAAAGAGCGGATCATTTTCTGGATTAGGTTGATTCAGGCGCACAAACCTCTTCCCAAACGCTACTGAATCTCATCTTAGTCGTGACCGCTGTGTCTCCTCAGCACTAGACAGAGGAGGAGCTTGTTTGGACACCCAAGCGCGTCCTGCCCGGCAGCGGCGAAGCCTCCGCTCCCGCGGCGCTCCGCGGACGCTCCCTCGTGCCGCTCCCTCGTGCCGAGGGGACGCGGGCAGGGGCCACCGAGCCCCGCTGGCGCCGCGGCCGGGCCGAGTCGCTGCTCGCCTGCTCAGGCTCTTCCCTGGGAGAGACTGAACACGCTCCTCAAGCAGCCCCCATGCAGGAACCTGCGTTTCGGCTGCTTCTCGCCAGGTGCGAAAGATGATTCCTGCTTGCCAGCAGAGAGGTTTTATAAGAATACTTAGACCTACAGCTACAACAGCTCCAGGAAGATCCTCTTTCCTGCAGTTCAATGGCTCGGGCAAAACTGAAGAATTCAGCCTGTGTCTAGACTTCTGCACATCACTCCTAAGTTGACTGTTTTGGTCAGAAGACCAAGAACAAAAGAGGCAATCAGCTTTGTCCCGGATTGTCAAGCAATCGTTTCAGTTAAGGCAAGGAATATAAGCCACGAGGTCACAAAACTGACACAGRTTTTTGTGCAGTGCAGTAAACTGTMGTGATCACAGTGCCCTTTTTGCTGATGCACTTGTTCATGGAACTGTCCTATGCCAGCAGTCACAAGCAAACCGCTTCTAATGCTCCTGCAGTGCGTTCAGCTTCAGCAGTAGAAAAGCTGCTCTGTTTTCAGATCCAACTGCAGAAAAAGGATTTAGTTCTATTTTAATGTTAAATTTTGAAAACATTTTTGGTCTTTAGTTTTGAAAGCCTTTAAAAAAATCAGGTCAAATCTGACAGTACTTCCCGAGCAAGCTAAGAATATAGTTCCTTCTCTTTAGTTGCTCACCTCTGTGCTTACAGTTTAGCTTCAATGRCTTATTTTCAACATGCAGCCTGGCAGCTGTCCTCACTTGGCTCTGTTCTAAACCTTGTATTACAGAGGTCTACAAATTGCTGATAACGGTGTTTGCAGAAATCAGCAAGATGAAATACATGAAATATTTATTCTCCAATTAGTCAATCCAAGTAATCTTATCTTACCTACACTTTGTGYAGGTTAGGCACAAAATTAGTCATGGAAGTCACAACCAATTAGGCATGTAAGTTAGTGGCTGCTGGCATTACTATCTGTACGCCAAGGAAATATGAAACAGCAAACCCTCAGGAACACTTAGGAAAGGAAATCCATCTAGGTGGAGGACAATCTTTAAACCATGACCTGTACATTATATCCAACTGAAAATACAGTAATTTAATAAGTTGCACTACTAAATTTTGGGCTGCACTTTATGTAGTGCCTGATTCCTCCTGCATTACTGTCATTTTCTTCTACGAGATCTGAGATTCCTCTACTGATGCCAGCAGCMCAGGCAAGTTGCCAAGTTTTCCAAAGTTTCCAAACACTAGGATCAGTGTGGGTGCCCCTGGCTATGGGAGCCTCACACACCTTCCCTCTTCTTCCCTATCTCGCAGTACCTCGCTATGCCATTCTTAAGGGAAACAAGTGTTTTTATTCCAAGGTGCACTTTTCCAGTTTTCGGGTTATTGGGATTCTGTGTTTCACATACCAAAATTTACACACCACTGTTTTGTGTAGTATGTAAGCAGTAACTGCAGGGACGTGAAAACAAAACCTGGTGCCTGCGCTGGGAGGGCAACAAACTTCAGGGAAGTACCTGAARAAAACTGCATGTCCAGGACTTGTTAGAGATTTACCAAATTTAACTTTCTAARATACAATCCTAAATTTTTACATTGAGAAACATTTTGTATTGGAGTTTTTATCATAAGCTTTCTGTGTAAAGTCACAGAACTACAGGATGAAATAAAAGTTTGGTAGAAGAAGAAACAAGTGATCCAACTGCAAGAGCACTGCCTGTCAATCCTGTGGCACTCATCTTTTGAAAATGAGAGGGAAACAAGAAAACGCACATACATGTTCTTGTTTAGGCTAAATTTTATATATAAGCTTATATATCAGTGTATATATAACATAAATTTAGTCTAAACAAGAATCATAGCGATGCTTTTAGCTGATACAGCTGCAGTCAGTGAGCCTGTAACTAAATCAGAATCTCTTTACACCCACTTTGCTCCTGGGGGTGGGAGCGTGCCTAATATCTCAGAACTTTACAAAATCGCASTGCTTGCTACAGCCCAGTATTGCAAATCCTTCATCAGAGGTACAGATTAATCCAATTTCCCTCTTTCCTTGTATCAAAAGGTACAGGATATTTCACTAACAGTTTACTTTTAGTTGCCAGTGAAGCTGCATTGCCATCTGAGCACAGAAGGGTAGGGAAACAGCCAAAATCCTTCTGTGACCATCCCAATAAGGACTAGGTTTTGAAAACTTGCTTTGTTCATAGTGCTGCTCAACCATGAGCATTATGCTTTAAGTGACGGAGGAACCAGYTTTTCAGGGTATCCCAAAGCAAAGCTAGAAGAGGCTGAAGCGGCTAGAAGATAATTGTATCATACTGGAATCTAGAAGAAAAAACACTAACTTTCTCAGGTGGAGTTAAGCCAAATTTAGTCAAAAAACCTCTGAATTTGGGAACTTGGGTCTCCCAGTCTGGACAGGCTTAGCTCTCACATTCTACATGATCGCAACAGAAGGAGCACAATTTCCAGATGAGAAAGCGGTGATTGGTGGGACAGAAACAAAAAGACCAACAGCAGGTACAGAGCTTGCGGCTTAGGCATGGCAAGGTGCACCGAGCTCAARGAGGTCTGGGGCTGAGCTTTAGCAGGCTCAGACTGGACAGGGCCGGGCATCCGCAGGTGCCATWCCCAGCTCGGAGCCTGGGGCTCCGGGCACTGTGTTCCCATCCTGGGCATGGAGCTGGTGGGGAGCAGGGCCAGCCTGAGCCGGTCCCGCAGAGGCCAGCAGCAACACTCAGCCGGGGCTCCCAATGGTTTAAACATGTTTATGTTCATTCTAGAACCTASAGCCAAAATCTGAGTCTTTAGCTGGATTATAGCAAAGGCACCGGTTTTATCAATGGCAGTGACCACTGATTACTCCAACGTGACATTTCACGGCCATCAAGACTGCAGAAGCTGCTTTTCCTTAGACCAAGYTTAAGCTCCTGACATTGTGTAATGAAAAGTAAACAAGTGTCAAGAGATACATATATATTTCTACATCCTAACCTCAGTCTATAATCTTAAGGGAAGAAACAAAAAGAAACACTGAAGGTCAATACTACCTACTTGCAGCACAATAAGGCTTCAGTTAGTTTTTGTCAGTTCTGTAATATCAATTAATTCCAGGGATGGCCCCACGAAGAGTAAAGAACGTGATCCCCTTCACTCGGGTAGCACTAGGTGATCAGAATTCTCTCCCTCCCTCTGTTTCTTCTCACATGTTTTCTCTTAATACATTTCTTGGACTCACTGCATCTCACTGCAGATGTTACAGCATCTTTCTGTGTCAGGGTTTAGAGCAGTCAAATACGTAGCTTGCGCTTCTCCACATGATTAGGCAAGTCACAGACACCTCAAATATTAGTGTTGTTGCCTGCCTTGGTGATGTTCATGCTCATGTGATGTAGGAAATGCAGGAATGTTTTTGCTAGACAGGTCCAGCTACTTAAGGCCAAAATACAAGTTAAAATTACACTTTTTACTTATTTCTAGCAAAGTCTTGGATTTGCCACTTGAAAGCTGAACTTCCTTGTTTCCCTTTGAAAGCCTAACCAAGTAAAGTAAGATTCCAAAAGGTTCTAGAAGTTATGCAGCAAGAAGTAAAGGAATGTTTTAGGAATGTTAACATTTATTATTTCTTTGCTCCCACAGAACTGCAAGGAACCACTGAATGGCTGAGGTTGGAAGTGGCTTTCACAGACCCAACTTCCTTCCTTAAGCAGGTCTCACCTAGAGAGGGCTGCCCAGGACCATGCCTAGCTGGGCCCAGACTTTCTCCAAGGATGGAGACTCTGCAACCACTCCAGGCAACCTGGGGTAGTGCTCAGTCACACTCACAGGAGTTATTTTCTCATATTTTTGTGGAATTCCTGGTGTTTCAGTTTGTGCCCATTGCCTCTTGTCCTGCCATTGGCTCCATCTTCTCTTTATCCTCCCTTCAGATATTTGTATGTATCAGTAAGATCCCCCTCAGCTTCTTCTCCAGGCTGAACAGTCTCACCTCTCAGCCTCTCCTCATACAAGGGGCACTCCAGTCCCTTAAGCACCTTAGTAGCCCTTTGCTGGCTTCGTTCCAGCACGTACATGTCTCTCGCGCTAAGGAGGCCAGATCTAGACCCAGGACTCCTGGTGTAGCAGCAGGAGTCCCACTGACCCCCTCTGCCATGACGTTGGTACCTCCTGGTACCAACTCATATTCCACTCACTGCCCAAGCCCCTCAGCTCCATCTCTGCAAGTTGCCCCCAGCCCCAATCACAGCTACAGATGCAGGTGAAAAAAGGTGACTTGGACGTCAATATAAATTCAACTTTTATCTTTGAATATATAAGTTGAACATATAGCAAAGTCACCTTTAAAGATGAATACAAAGACAGACTTGTTTTCAAATTATTGTGAAATAAGAACCTGTTTTCAGTGTTACTTTGTTTTGGTGTGAAACTGTTTAAATTTTTTTTCCTACCAAAATCTGAAGCAGAACCTAATCTTTGACAAAACAATGTGATCCTAAGCTTTCAAGGAATATTTTGGTCTGGGTATAAGTTTTCTCCCTGCTGAACATATGCAGACAAGGATGAGCCACCATCCTTAGCCATGAGACATGAGCAGGGAGGGCTCCGGCCAACGCTCCTGCTCCATCCTTACCCCTCATTCCACTGGTCGCCTGCTGCCTCTTCTGCTACCAGGATATCGTACTCCTCTGCCGCGTACCGCTCCCAGTCGGAGATCTCCTGGCTTTCACCTTCACCATCCTAGACCACCACATTGCCAGTTAGACAAAATGTATTGGGCATTGAGCATGTAGCTAGTAAAATTCTGAAGGTTTCATACTCACTCGCAACACAGAAAATTGATCCTTCTGTTCATGGTCGAGATATTTTTCAATGTTGAAAAATGTGTCAAAAAACACATTTGTCAGCTTACATTTCTTCAAATCATGCAGAGTAATCTTTCCTGAAAGAGAGGTTGCAGCATAAAGTATTTAGACTTGTAATCATCCTCTCTCTAAAAAGCACAAATGTTATTCAGAAGTGAGGTCAACATTTTACTCAAGAACATTTGCCACTAGGCCTCAGTGCAACAGAGAAGAAAAAAGAGAAAAAGTGGAATAAACACCTACAGAAGTGTCCTTCCAAGTGTGTGGGGGGAAACACTTAAATATACCAAGTTTATTTGCTTCAGCTGCCCTTCTGCTGTCCTTCAGCTCACCGGAATGAAATGCAGTCAACTTCACACAGCTACTGAGAGTCACGTAAGCTGCGTGTCCAGCTTTCCTCAGGAGATGGACGCCGCCAGCAGGCCAGTTATTCCATCCCAAGAAGAGTCTGGGCAGCAGGGAGGAATCTCCTCTGACAGCGACCTCACTTATAAATGCACGGGATAGATTCCTCTGCTCTTTTTATATAAATTATTCTGCATGATAGACGAAGTCAATCCATCTCACTGAGCTACTGCAACCCCTGAAATAATATTTATGGGCCTTCAAAGCATGCCATTTGGTTTAGACCTGTGCTTCTTAGGTGACTTACATAAAAGCTAGTTTTTCTCACACTGGTCCAGCATGATCAATATTCTCTCCTCCAGAAGCCACAAGGTTGAGACTTCTTTAAGTGATGGTTAAAGCCAGGGATCCGTTAGGTGTTAGAACCACCTGTCAGGTTGCTCAGAAGCGTAACCTGGCAGCACGACTGAAGAAGGGCTACACATACAAGGGAACACAGATGCCAACCGTTTATTCTGGAACACATTCCCTTTACTGAAGGGAACGCAGATGCCAGCCTGCCCTTTACTCCCTTTGGAGGCAGCCATTGTGCTGCGGCCTGCGCAGGAGCGGCCGTTACGGCGGTTACGGCAGTTACGGCAGGAGCGGCCATTATGGCGGTTACAGCAGTTATGGCACAGCGAAGGCCGGGCTCACAGCAGCGCCTGGGCTGGCTCCTCGGCCGGCAGCGACCCGGAGCTCGGGACATGAGCGGGAAGCAGCGTCTCCGCATGCAGATCCCTTGGGGAAGTCGCTGCCACGCCAGGGCCTGGTGTGATGGATATGCTCCTTTCCCAGCTCAACGTGACCTGTACCTTACATGCAGCCCTGCTCAGTTGCTAACCACCAGCCATTTATCTAATCCTGGTAAGCGCCACCATTCTGATTTCTTCTCCCACTTAGACTCAACATAAGAGTCCTGAAGGCTGCATCCAAAAGGGGAGGTAAGGCTAGTGCACTAGCCAATGGGCCTCTGAAATGAAAGAATGACTATAAACATGCAGACAGCCCGAGAGCCCCTTGAGCTCTCCTGGCACAGCAGCGGGCTGCACACCAGGATCTCCCYTTGAACAGGGATGCCTCTCAAGGTTACTCCTCAAGGCTGAGAGACCCTCCTTTCCACAACAGATTTATGTTAAGTGAACATAGCGCGCTTTCTTTAACTTTACTTTGTAACTGTGCACAAGAACCCTTAGTCATAAACCGTTGACCAGGTCTGGGACTAGGATTGGATCCAGCCGCACCCAGACTCCTCTCAGAAGGAGCCTGGAAAGCAAGGGGGTCCAATCTGAACCTYGTGACCCAACGGGAGGGTATCCCAAGATAACTGTGTATTATCTTGAGCCTCCATGCAGTGAATAATAAGTGACCTTGCCACAGAATCTCGTGAAATCATTGTTCATATTAATAAATCCTATTATTATGCTTCATACGAGTGAAGTGCATTTGTCACTCACCGCCGCCACCACTCGTTCCGCGACACCTGGGGCCGTCTGCAGTGCCCAGCGCAGGGCTGACGCTGCGGAGCGACAGCAACRGCACCTGGGTTGCATCTGTTGGACCCACAGAGATGGGGCCAGGAAACCCCCAGGCTGATTTGAGTCTAGTTACATAAGCTCCCTATTTATTATATTATATAACCATAAGTGCATATGTTTTCCACAGAGTGCAATTGGAGCTTAAAGACATTAGGCTATTGTAGACTCCTTCACTGTCTCTCAAAAGACCATTAGAAAGCGAACAGAGTTGAAGAGAACCGAATTCAGCTTTCCACAAATTCCAGGATTTGCTCCGTGGTGCACGGAGCGTCCCGCAGCAGTGCACACCACAGCGGAGCTCTGTGCAAGGGTCTGCCTTGGCTTTCAGTCTACAAGTCAAAATTTCATTCTGTGCTACTAATTTGCRTTAGGAAAACTACACAGAATTCTTTTCCTAATCCACCCTCACCATGTCACAGATGCTGAAAACCTTATCAGCCCTTCAGGCTCAGCTTTCATTTCCGCTGTCCCAAACAGTTCTTGCCTCGGTTGTGTTTCCTGGTCTCCTTTTATCCGCRTCACGACACAGAAGCGGGGCACATCGGTCACCTTTCCTTTCAAACAAGGAACTGCCACAACACTGCAAATGTCCACACAAGGTAGGAGACTTGACGAGGGGAGGGGTTCCCCTATGCTCAGAGCTCGTCGGGGAGCCCCTGAGCGGCCTTTTCCTGGCAGCCTGCTTCACTTCGCTGCCAATCCCGCACCGGGGCACCAGGCACTGGGGTGAAGGCTGGGGTGAACACTTCATCCCATGGTATCTAGAAATGAGCTGCCAGCGTAGACATAGTTTATACTCCTTCTTCATTCATAAAATTATCATCTGCTTCTAGAAATGGGTTTTCACCTCACAAGTCCGCATTAGCTGAGTTTTATATAAGAATGCAAAACTTCTGTTCCTTAAAGTCAATTTTGAGAAAATTTGAGACCTTTATTTACAAATACAGAATCTGTTACTCATAATAAACACGTTAAGCACAAATGGGCCAGCTGTGAATTTTTTGCAATGCAAAGTTTGTACAATAACAGCAACTAGATTGTATACCAAGTGCTTTTACACATTAAAAGGGACATTAAAACTTACAGCCATAAGAAGGGTTATTAGTGCTAACTATASTAAGGTGCTCAGACATCACATTTTGATGGTCTGATTTCAGCTGTGATTTCAAGAAATCCCTGAACACTTTTCCATGACGGCTAAAACAAACTGAAACTAGCGAGACAAGTTTCAAAACCAGTGCAGAGCCAGAACATGCAGTGTACTACTCTGACTACTCTGGACCTGGTTCAGAAAGATACTCGCATACCAAGCACAGAGAGAGCAAGCATCATGATGTATTAATGTTTTTTTTTTTTGGCACAACCTGAAATTCAGATTGTCRGCTAGAGTGTACATTTCAAGCACAGGAGAGTAAAATGCAGCAGGTTTAATGAATTTCAGGACATGGAAAATGCCCCAAAAGCTAAAAACAATTTAATATTCAGATATATTTAATCCAATTGCTATGGACGTCTTAGGGGAAACTTAAGACTCTTAAAGTCATTTCATTACTGATCTAGAGACAGGCACCACTTAGATGCTGTTCTCTCTGCAGGAATCTAAAATGAAATCTAAAAATGAGTATTAGGAACTGTCAGGCAGTAAGSGAAACACAACATTTGAGAATTTTTCTTGAAAGTACCACCTCAGCCAGACAGCAATGAGATTTCATTTGAGACTAACTGTGGCTACTACTAAGCCCAATATAAAAGCCTTAGAGAAATTTATARCAGCAAGTTACCTTATAATATGAAAAAGGATACTTGCCTGTCCTCAGAAGACCTTTCAATTAATAAGAACTAAAGGCTTTAGAGAGACCACACAAAGGCCTATTTGTCAGCAGAGCCAACAAAATGCTCTTATAGGAACATTAACTCCTAATCCATAGGAGCAGAAGCTACATAATGGAAAAAGGATTTTCTTACCTTCATATTGTGGCTTCACAAGATCCAGCATCTGGCACAAACAGTCTTCAAATGGCAAAGGTTCTATGGCCATGTTATCTAATTTTTGGCACTGTTCTTCATAAAAATATTCCAGCTCATACATTGACAAAGCACCATCCCCATCAAGATCCATGCAGCGAAACCAGTATTCGATGCTGAAATTCAGTAATTTTATTAATAGAAAAAGAAAATTTAAACAAGCTTGTTAAGAATTTGGTTGCTGTTTTAAAGGCTGCACTACTCACAGAGGCAAAATTAGACTCATGCCTACGTTCTTGAATGCCATAAGAAGTCATTAAACAAGAAATATCCCTTGTGATAAGAGTTTCTGATGTCTGCCATGCCATACAACATCGTTTGCATTTGAAAAACTTGTAAGGGAATGACACAGGAGATGAGAAGACTGAAACATGTGGTATTACACAYGAACTCAAGAGAGCCAATGAAAAAAACGAAATTGTGCCGTCAAAAGCCCAGATTCTTTTTCATACCGAAGCAGCAATAACTTCACACACTGTGATGTGAAGTTCTCACTGTAGGATGTTCTTACCAACATCCTACAACTAATGGCTAGCTGTGCAGTTCCCCAAAATCTCTGGCACTGTGAAACAACCCTATTTTCCTGCTTCTATGACTCTGACCACCAGTAGGCTACACACATCACGTGGAACAGCAGCATTTAATTAGCATCATAATAGTCATTAAAATAGATCCTTGCAGTGGTTGCACTAGAAGCAGCTGAGATATAAGAACTATAAGGGAAGAACTGCAGCCAGCCTGACATTCACCTTGTCACCGTTTGGCTTCTACTAGGTGTAAATGTGCATCAACGCTGCCCGTTCACGGATCAGAATAAAGCCATTTTTAGGCTTGTTAAAACAAATTCATTCTTACCTTGTCGGTGTCTTTTTGTCTTCTTCAGATATCAAAAACCAGACAAAATCAGCATAACTAATTTTTCCCTCTTTTTGTGCTTTTCTACCTCTTGAAGGACAATGCAGAAAAAAATAAAGAATTTGTTTTAAAAATGCTGAAGTTTTAGTAAGCAAACTTAAGGATTACTTGCCTCATTACTATTAAGTGTTTATATTTTTCCTAAGACTGTGCGTGTAAGCTGGCTTGTCAGGGACAGCTTTGATCACTGAGGACAAGAGRGCTTCATGTGCTCTATTCTGTTCCTACTGCAGCAGGTATTTGAAGAGAAGAGTAACAAGTGGACAGGCACCTGTGCAGGAAAACCTGCACCTTCCCTGCTTGGAAGCAGTTCCTTAGCTATGAACAGAGGAGCTATTTCAATTTCTTTTTAATTTATACAAGATGCATTTAGAATCTCTACTCAGCCAAAAGTGAGAATTTGAAGTTTTATAGAGCTCTGTTGGCTGAGAGTACTAGGACAGAAATATAAAAACAAGAATRAAATAAAGTTATTCAAAAAGTGTCAGTGATAAGAAAGTAATTGTCTGTTTCTACTCTTATACCACAGAACATGACATCTATTCCGGAAGTATTCAGATGCTATCAGGCTTCCTGGTACAAAGTCAGACAGACAGCCTTTCCCAGAGCATTAATTCACAAAAKTCCATTTATAGTTATCCTCACAGGGTTTAGAAAAATGCTGTGTGCTTTGTGTTGCCCCATTTGCTTCCATATGAAAGGAGTAACCTCTAGGTATGTGCATGCCAGGTGTCATTTCTACTTCTGTCAGGCCATATCTGTTTATCAATCACCTAGCTGCAGATGGAGCATGAAGGCCAGCAAAATGTCTAAATCGAGTAGAATACACACACAAGACCGAGCCGATTCAAGCAGMACAATGAAGAAGGACAGTCAAAGTATGAAATACCTCAGTTGGAGGTTTAAACTTAGACAATGAGCACTCATTTTACAAGCACTACCAAAACCTGCAAGTCCCYTTGGCAGCTCTACAGGTTGATGGACACAACGACAGAGCCAACATTCTCCATTCCCGCTGGGCTGCACAGTTCTCGATGGCCAGTGCTCATATGGGTAACGTAAAAATCTTGCACTCAGCCAAAGATGCCAGGAATGCTGCAGTGCTTGAACTGCAGCACTAAACCCCCCAAATTCACTGTTGCATTCTAGGGGAAGTCATCTATTCTAAAAACGTCATGCTCAATTTAGCAAGCAAATACAGATATAAATTTTCATGCAGAGTAATTACCTTGTTACCGCTCCTGAGAAGATTCTCTCTATCATCCTATTTGATATTGCTGTAAGAGAGAGGTACATAACTCGCACGGTATTTTTACACAAGCTATTTCTGCTTTGTACTGCCTAGTTGAAGAGGTTATTGGAAATCTTACACATCTGTGGGAAAGATCAAGTGTAGCTTTCACTAATCCGTGTGAGTCCCATTGAAGAAGATCATTTAATACAGTCTCCAAAGCAATGCTAAAAACAACCACCTGTGAATTCAGGTTTGATGCAACAATAGCGACATACTAAAAAAAGCAAAATTGGCTGTTTACCAAGAGGGCACTTACTAGAAAACTGGGTTTTCAAGGGCCATTTCAGTTAATGACACAGCCTTTGACAAAGGACCAAACCAGATTAGCCCATTACTATGTAACAAGTGCACCCAGCTGCTTCTGACCTGAGGGTGCTTCTCAAAAGGTTCTAATCCACACTTCTATTTTGAGACCACTTTGGGGATGACTTTTTAGAGATGTCTTAACCAAGTATTGCTTTCTGTGAAGGAAACTCTGCTAGATGCTGTATTCCAGGTAATGTTTCTGGAAGAACAAGTGAATGGTACTCAAAGCCACACAAAATATTGTTCTCACAGAAGCAGAATTACTTCTGGTCAATCTATCTCAGACTTAAGACATTATAGGATTGTTGATAATTCTCCCAAATGGCTAACCATTAAAACTTAATATCAATTGAATAGAAGATGTATTATCACCATACTATGTTAATTGGAACACTAGTGTCTATTTTATATTTATCCCCCAAAGTGCAGGATAGCTGGTTTGTTTCAGACGTACCATGTGCTGCTGCTTTCTGTCTGCTTTTAAAACACTGAGAAATTGTTCACTTGCCAACAGCACCTATGTACTGTTTGTTATTATTCATAGAAGTATTTGACACAGCCTAAAATTAGGTCCGTCCAGAAAAGGAAAGGAAGGGAATAGTAAACAAAAATTACTTAATTTTGACGTTGGAAAAAAAAAAAAACCAAAAAACACTACGTCAACAACACCATGTCAAGTAATGGATAATCATTTCAATTCTATGTTCATGTTTAGACTATTTCTCATTATGTAGCAGTCCTTAAAATTTAGGCARATGTTCTGGAGTTTAAAGGATGCACAAAGGTGCAGAACTAAACTGCCTGTGGCCCGATTTCGTTTCTGCTTATTTTCTGCTCATTGCCTCTTAGCTCAGAGGAGCAACAAAGGCTCGAACAAAAGCCTTCTTTCCACGGTGCCCTAGTGCACCACACTTCAGCAGGCCTTCAGAAGCAACAAGAACTATGTTTATGGGTAATACCCCATTGCCTCCATAGCCACTGTGTGTTTAAATAAGTGTTCTGCACTGAAAGAAATAATTTGAAGATGAGAATGGACGTGAAGCCTCAGAAAGGTAAATTTGATATAAGCTACAAGAATATTCAAGCTGGTTTAAGCTGGTTGCAACTGAAAGACTGAACAGTCTCAGACAAACATCACTGCAGCTTGTAAATGCAGAAAGCAGTCACTGAATAGCATTAAAATAACTTAAAATATATTGTAGTTAACGAAAGCTTCCGATAAGCATAGCATTCAATGTTTGTCTCACTTTTCTACCTTCCCATATTCTTTTCCCTAAAAGCTATGCTACTTGAATAGTATCAGTAAAATACATTGTTTCCAAAGATAAAACCCAAAATCTTCTAATTAAACCACCTATAATATATCYAAGGTTTAAGGTACTTTTTAAAAATCAAGCCTACACATTTACAAGTGACTTTCCTCCTCTACTTTGCCGAGACCACAGTTGAAAGTCAGAATTTTCTTCAAATCTGGTATCACTAGACACGATGTTTGTCACAAATGACTTGTCTGTTTCTTTCCCCCGAGTCAGCAGTCAGCTGTCCTGGCCTTGACAATTCACTAACTGCTTCCTCAGTAACCCACAGAGGTGCCTCCTTTGCCCTACCGTGATCATTGTGCCGAGCTAAATCCTTGCGGTCAATATAGAGGTCGTGATCTGTATCCAGCTCCCAAAATTTGCAGTAGATTACATAGAAATGCTCATATGAGAAGTACTCCGTCAGCTGGTTAATATCTGCTTCCTCTTCCAATAAGGCCACGTTCTGTTAACAGAAGGATAAACAGACCACATTAAAGACCTTGCAAAATGGCTGTTGAATGATCCGAGCTGGCATAACCGAGTTAATATAAGCATTGGCTAAAAGTCAGGGAAACTATTTTACTTTCAGGGACAGTAAACACCATTCAGCATGACAGAAGGCATTTAATACCCAGGGTTGAAAGGTAGTGTATGCAGAGAGAAGCCTGAGGAGATTGGCCAGGCTGCTGCCAGGGAACTACATATAAGCACAACTCCAGACAAAAGACAACTTTTAAAGCAAAATACATGCCAGTGTGTATGAGAAGTGATGGAATTTGGCTTGTGCTAGTTTTTGGAAAAGGGAGAAATAGTACTTATATTATTTCCCTTAGCATTTAGCCGAAACAGTTGTCAGACAGGTAGGAACATCTGCCTCGCAAAATTTTACACGCTCTGTACCTGCAAAAAGTTGCTTTTCCTGAGCTCGTTACARGTAATTTTCCCAGACCAGGACCTATTTACTGTATAGTATATTCTCTGTACAACCTGCAAGAAACAGAAAATTGAAAAGTGATCTTAAGTATGTTAACTGAACAGCCTCCCAAAAATCTGTTATCATAGATAAATGTTAGCTCATCTGCATTTTAGAAGTCCATCTTTCCTCTCTGCTGAAGAGTACACWAGTCCATTCTTACTATTTTAAAGGTTGATGCTTTTCTTATGCCGTATTATGAAACTATTTCAAATCTGCATCTAATCTCATCTAGATACATTTTTGTTTTTCATTGGTGCATTACCCGTGTCTCACACGGGGAAGCTGCAGGATACCCACAGCTATCCAGGATACRTCTACTGACAGCTTCACTACCTCCCAGTCTTCCAGAACTGCAGGGTATCATCCAAGAAATGCAGCCATTTACCTCATGACTTCAATTCTAAAGACTTAATATTTACTATAAATATTTTACTTCATAAAAGAAGCAGAGATGGAAGGGGGGCTGTCTAAGAAAGATCAAACTACAGAACTAAGGGCTGCCATTACTTCAAGTCACCAAAAAAAACAAGCCAACATTTGAGGGGAGCTATAGCTCCTTGTGGGTATAGAGAGAATATATTTCTCATTTAATTTTATTCTATTTAAAACTAGTCAAAAAATGACAGTAGTAGAAAATATTTTATATGCTTTTTAATAACTAAATAACAAATATTTATGTAAGAAAGATGACTATTTCTTATGCTATAATGAAAACTAGATATACACTTTAATTTGTTTCCAATACTTCTGATTAAATCAGTTTTACATGCAAGATATTTCAGTAGACTTAAGCATACAGCATAATTTAACTTTAGTTAATGACTAACACACTGTTTCTTCAACTGAATTCGGTAGACATCTCAATTATTTTGACTTGCCAGACAGATATACATTGCAAATAAGTCATTCACCACTAAAATGTGCACAAAAAAAATCTAAGAATAGTACAAACTGTAATTGTTTCACTGGGGATGAATTATATACAGTTGACCATCAATGCRCCAAGTAGTGCAATTATACTGTTTTATTTACAATCTAGTAGTCACTAGCCAAAAAGCAGCAATCTTTATTTTAGAAAACTTCTCCCAATATAATCCCTTAAAAAAACCCCAAAACTAAAGACTTTGTTATTTATCATTTCTGACTTTAACTGCAGTAAATCACTATTTAAAACCAACCATTTTGATATTACAAAGAGAAGTGTAATGTATTTATAAAGTTTTAAAATATAGCTTAAACTGCAGTGCACAGCAAGCTCTGCAGCTCTTACTTTGAAGAGCAGCTGGTTCAATAAATTGAGAAAGGAGAATAAACTACCCTACTTCTGAAACCTAATTAGCTCACATCTAATTGTGAGTTTAGGGAAGGCCCATTTTTGGCTTATACTACAAAGCAATTTTTTCTAAAAAGGTTTTTGCCTTAGCTTTGCAACTTAATCCATCTGCATGTCATTATCTCATCTGTTATACATTTAACTGCTCTAAAAATAAAAACAAAATTGARTGTTTGCTGGAGACAACAGGGAACTAAAACTGTTTTTCTAAAGTGACTCCAATCAAGAGTATAAGCCAATCGTCTGAAAATTGTCCTCTGCACTGTGCTGCACGATRCTGTCAGAAGGGAGAGGAAGCTCTGCCATACACAGCTTATCATTTCCCTAATTTATAGGGAACATATATACACCATTTATTAACAGATGAAGTGTATTATCTATTTGCCAAGACAAACTGTTTTAATACAGCTCAGTCTAATCCTAATGATGTAGCTGACCTTATCCCACTGAACTGTGACCAACTAACCTACACCACTGCAGAGCCGAGGGAACCAAGTGCTTGTTGAGTGAGGAACGCTCAGAAGACACCTGCTGCACATAAGATATATATATATATAGATAGATATAATATATAGATATATATGTATGTATATATACACATCCACACACAAATACACAAATGTATGCTAGTAGAAAAATGGATTATTTAACCTGTAACTGCAAGTTAGCATTAACAGACATTAAATCTTCAACTGTAGTGCTTACAGAGTCCTTTAGCTATACCTTCAGAGAGTAACATTAAGGTAACTGTTAAATTTGTAGAATCCTTCAATAGTTATAAAATGTCATTCTTCAATTTGAGAAAAAGATTAGAAAATTAGTTTAAAAGTCTGCATTGGTCAGTTACTCCATCCTACAGAAAGACAAGAAAAGGCAGACAGCCCTCCTGCCATTTCTTTTTGTGCAAGTATTTCAAATATTCCAGCTATATTCATAATAGGGTTTTTTTTTTAATTAAATATTAGTTTCTGTTGAAGACTAGACTAAATTTTATTAGCCAAATATTCATTTGTCCGATAGTGCTACACTCAGAGCTACTCAAATAAGCAACTGGAAATGGCTGGATCTCTTCTCTCCTACTGCCCTTGAGGACAAGCAGAAAGTTTTCACCATTTAGAGCAGAGCAGATTTGATCCCGTTTAACCCAATAATAAAGATAATTCACAGGAAGAATCCTATCTGTCAGGAAAGTTCTGGACACTTATGTTACCACTACAATAAGGGAGGTAAAACCTACTATGGCAGGTTATACTTAGTAGGCTGGCAGTCTCTATAGGAATGATATGAGTAACCAGAACCGCTTTCAAACAGGATTAGAGTGGGCAGAACTAGAGTTCCTATTTTAAAATAAAGGCTTCCACAGTTTAGGGATAGTCCAGCTATAAGGAAAATATGACCATTCCCTGCACATTTTTATTACAGAATATTTGCTCATCAGGTTTGACGTGCACAAAGTGATCTAAATGTCCTTTTGGAGAATTTTCATCTTTTGACTTCAGTGAAGCTGGCTGTCTAGTCCACTATTGGGAAAATTTAATGCCACTATCTTCTCTTACATAGAGAATGATTACTTCAGTCACAGAACTCTTAATAGAAAAAATGAACTTTTCACACAAAATCTGTTCAGAAAGAAAATTCTTGGAGGGTAAAACAATAAGTAGCTTCAGTATTATCATTATTTTACTTAAAACTGAAATAACCACTTTAATATAGASCTTTCATTCAAAATTCCATTTATATTAATCCCAGAGCAGGGCCAATATTCTACAGAGCACAATCTGTAGTCACAACCAAGTGCTTAAGATGAGAAGAGTCCATTCATTCAAGGTTCATTAGCTTGTTTTACACTCCTACAGTTGACTGTTTCAAAAAGTACTAAGTTCAGCAAATTTCTTATGTGCTAAGAAAAACTATGATTGGGAAATTGAGTCTTTCTTCACAAGATTTCTAGTYGTGTAGAAAATGAGACAAGTATGACAAAGACGTTTATATACAGTGACCAATTTCAAATGTTTTGCTGCTCGTACTTAGTTAACAGAAAATAACTTTTCCAAACAGAAAACACTTACTGTGGTGATGTACCGAGAATGAAATTCAGATGCTTCTTTTAAAAATGAGAGGCCAGGATGACTATTCACCACATCCTGAGGAGCAAGGAAGAACAGTGCTTCAAACAGTATTCCTTAGTATCCATACAAAATCATTTTCACGGGGAGCACATCTGTTTCCTTAACCAATACACATCATATCTAACTGCCATCATTAATAAGCTCATTTACAGTGTACTGGATATTTTTAAAAACGAGCAGTGATACTTACAAAATTATCTTTTAAAAGCTAGAAGAACGTATTTTAGAAGAATACGTTAATCAGATGGACATAAGTTGTAAGCTGCCACAGTCATTAGTAGCACACTTCTGTGTCGGACTCCAGCCCACTGAAAACAATTGGGTTTTATTCATTCATTTGGTATGGTTTGCTTCTCTGGGAGAAAATACTAGCTCTTAGATTCATCTGTCACTTTCTCCTTGCCTTCCAGAAGGCCTCCTTAGCTTTAATAGCTTCAACTCTAAACCCTGAGGTTTTCTGACAGGTGAGCTGCTCCTCACAAATTTGCAAGCAATTTTAAATCAATGCAATTTGCAAGCAATTTTAAATCAATTTTAAATCATTTGTTTAAAAAACCACACCCTCACATTACATAAAATAGTAGGTAACTGTGGTTAGCTATAAATTAAGTTACTTGTTCACAACCCACATCTTATCAATGAAGACTTTAAAACCTTGGGAAAGTGTGTTTAGCTCAAAATAAGAAAAAAAAAAAAAAAAAAGTTCTGCCAGGTAATTTTGCATGGTTTCCAGTTGCAATTTACTTGTAAAAAAGGAATGAAGTCTTCAGGCACCAAATAGTTGCATCCAGGGTTCATTAGAAGATGAACAAATTTTGCAGCATCATCATAACAGGTCTGAAGGATTCTGAAATGTAGATGTATACATTTAGTACTCTACATTCATATTTACTCATGCACAACTTTGGAAGCCGCAACCATAGTATTTATTTCAAAAACTAACTGCAAGTGTCAAAGTGCCCTGCAGTTCATTTATCCACACAAAACCGGCGGGCCCCATTGCACTTTCTTTGCCATCTAGCCTTCTTATAAATTTCTAGACAACTACATAGTCTCTTACATTTACATTAAAGGATGKGGGGTACACAGACTGATTAAATGAAAAGATATCAAGTTAGAAAAGGAAGCAGAACTATGCAGAAGGGAATGTATTTTTCCAGAACTGACTTTTGAAGGTAGAACCATAGTTTTTACTTTTTCCATGAACAGTTGCAGCCAATTACCACAAATATTTAAAAAGAGTTAAATCTGTAAGCAAAATAAATACTTATTTTTAAAGGGATGCGCTATTTACATTTCCCTAGCTACAAGTTTGCTGTCAATGCTTGATTGTAGAAAAATGTTTTCTTCCCCTTACTAGCTGTATATCTCTTTCAACAGTTAAAATATCACATTTAAATCAAGATATAGAGTCCCTGTAAAAATGCAGGCTACTTACTTCCGCCACATTGCGACGAATTTATGAACTGACACATATCCTGTTCGTTCACCTCCAGCACAATAAAACAAGGGACCTTTCCAGTAAAGGGGACATGCACAAGCCTAGAATTAAAGCATACATCAAGTCAGCTCATTGATTAATTCTGAGGGTTACTCCCTCATTTAACAAACCTTCCAAACATTATTTTTTGCAAGTGTTAAGCGATATCACAGGAGAAAAGTTTGTATCAGTGCACATATGCATAGAGGAGTAAAAGTATTTCTAAATGTACAATGACCACACATTTTTAAAACCGTTTCTGAAACCAACTGTGCCCTTCAAAACAGGTAAGCTTAAGCAATTGCTTTAGGCATAAATCTGAAAGAGGAAAGCAAAAGGCCAGGCAGCTTTCAGTATGCCCAATAGCTGAAGGCAGCCACGTATCTGCTCTCTCCAAGCAGCTGAATAGAGTCCAAGCTAATCAGCTCTGCTAAAGGGCCAAGTGTGCTTACGTTGGGCTCATGACAGCACCAACTACTATGCTGGACTGGAGCCAGTTGGTGTGTGCTTGATTCCCAGGATGGCTCTACCTGCCTGCATCCTTGCGCTTGGACATGTATCTTGCGCCCAGCTCTCAGCAGGGCCAGCAGTGGCCACTCACTTTGGGACACTGGACAGCGACACCTTCACAGCTTCAGAGGTCCCTTCCACCTCAGAGCTGCTTCTGCCTCTTCCACACTTCCTCAGTGTTAACAACAAAGCCTAACCTGCACTGTGGCTCTGGAGTGACAGGCAAACCCGCACCTGCGGATCCCACACAAGGCCAGGCATGTTATACAACGTACCAAGTTTCTAGAGGAATAAGTACAGCTACTTTTCATCTATTGCTTGCATAAAAGCAAACAAAGGGAAACCAAGAATCAACTTCAGACCATTCCTGCTTCTGGAGGGCACCTTGTTCTCTGACTTATCTATAAGYGGCACCCTCCACCTCTTGCTGAAGCACCATTTCCATGGGGAAAGGTGCTGTGGAAGGGAAGGATCCTGTTATTCAGCTAAATAGCCGGGACAAGCCAGGAGTTTGAGAAGGAGTTGAGAAGGTCTTTGTTTCTGTTTTCTAGACCCTGGACTTAATGTGCAAAGTAATAGGAACAGGAAYGAGAACTCAAGATTATGACTTCCAGTGATAATGCTTCAGGAGTTAGAGTATAATACAATTTAAATTTCATTTCATTAATCTATTTTGCCATGCATTACAAAGCAGAAACAAATCACTCCTTCCTCCACTGAAGCCTGCCTCCACACCTTGGCTGCTAACCCAGTATTTTCTCACTCTACAGTAACTCTAGATTAGTGTTTCAAGAGCCACAGAAGTGCAATAATCCCAAATCTCAAGCCATTATGGATTTCTGTGTTTTACAATGGAAGTTCAGGACACTTCAATGCAAAAACCACAATCTGCAAGCGTTTATATCATGTTAGTTACATGGGCATTTTAATCACACAGCTRAAACTCCAGAGTCCTGAAACCAAACTGCAGACTAACAGGGCTTTGCCTGAGGGCTGGTTCGTGAATRCAGATCRTATAATAAACCCTTGAGTATTTGGMAGTTTAAGCAAATACRAAGTTAGTCAGATTTTGGTTTCTGGCACGTCTTTTTGGTAACCATGATGTAGAGAAGTTYGGGACATAGTTAATTCAAACATTTTCCTCACATAACTGTGCTAGCAGTCATGCTACTTGTGAAGTCTTATTGATACTACCTTGTAAGAGCTGAAAACACCTACTGCAAGAAAACAGAAGATGCTGAACTCCTAAGGCCTTTCCACAGGTTTACAGTACTGAACATAGAAAGGCAACAAATCCTTACCTTTGCAACTTTCCCCATATCTTCTAGAGTTGCCCTCTCATTTGGAAATTCAGAGAAAGTTCTTTCAATTTTGGAAATCACAGCATCTATATTCACTTTTTCCTTAGGACACCCTCGAGGAAAATAGAAAGTTGGAATGGTCTGACTAAGCGATGTTGGCAAAGGTTCTTCCTTCTTTGTCTGAACCTAAATGAAAAACACATTTGACAGTCAGGTAAAATAAAGAGATTTCTGTAGTCATCCTCAGATAAGGACTGAAAGACATCATATTTGAAGGTATGTTGCAAGAATACCAAATAAAAGATTTATGAAAGGTTGGAGAAAGCTATCTGAGAATGAGAGCCGAGTGGAATATCACAAACTGTTTTAGAAACTGTCATTTGGAAATCTTTCCAAGATCTTAAAAATTTAAGACAAACAGCTTTAGTGTTTTACATCATATTAAATCTCAAGATTAAGACACAAAATACYGCTTACTGGAGACATCCGAAGCACTCTATTTTACCACTTTCAGTTTACAGAAAAAAACTACTGAACACTAAGCTTAACAGCTCATGAGGGAATCTGCTTTTCAAGTCTTTCCAGTTTTTTGAAATAACTTATAATAAGTTGCAAGCTTATTGATTTATGATGGAGATGCATGTATTTTCCAAACCTTAAAAAAGTCATTTTTCTGAAAGTAAATAATTTCTTCAAATATTTTTCGCACATTAYGCATTTTGACATAAGAGTTTAGAAAACTGCTTCACTAGAACATGTGATATGCCATGCTATAAAAGACCAGTATCAAGAGCCATTGTCTACTTAAATGCAGCTTCTTTAAAGATTTCGCCTTTTCCTTAGCTTCAAAAAATAAAAAAAATAAAAAAGCCAGCAAGGCAGAGCAACAAAGGCAGCAAGCAAAGAAAGAATCAAGTTAGCAGCAGCTCGGAAACTGCAGCACCTCATGAAGTTGTTCATYCCAAGGTCATATTTAAACGTAACAAAGGTTAATGCTATTACAGCTTAGCCTAGTGTTAAATAGGCCCAAGATCCTGAATTCCATTCCCCTCGTTTCCAATCCAGGTCTGCATCAAAATGGCTGTGAAGATACCTMCCTCCCTCCTATACTCAAAATCCTTTCTTAAGTCATTGAAAAACCTGGGAAGCAAGCATTGTGCAGACAGCAAGTTTTTTAGTTTCAGGACTCCAGTCATAGAATGCATAAGGTGATCTCAGAGGTCATCTTAGTCCAACCCCACCCTGCTCACGCAGGGTCACCCAGAGCACGGGGCACAGGGCTGCATCCAAGCAGGTTTTAAAGATCTCCRAAGAAGGAGACTCCACAACCTCTCTGGGCAGCCTGTTCCAGGGCTCTGTCACCCTCACTGTCAAAAAGCGTTTTCTCAAGTTCCTGTGGAACTTTTGGTGCCTCAGCTTGTGGCCGTTTCCTCTAGTCCTATCGCTGGCCACCACTGAAAAGAGGCCGCCCCCCTCCTCCTCACTGCCTCCCTTGAGGTATTTATACACGCTGATCAGGTCCCCCCTCAGCCTCCTCTTCTCCAGGCTGAACAGACCCAGCTCCCTCAGCCTTTCCTCATAGGGCAGATGTTCAGGCCCCTGATCATCCTGGTAGCCCTGAAGTCTTTACTGGAATATACAGAATAAGAAAGCCCGAATTAATTGTGCCCCCTCTGCCTTGTCATTTGAGCTAGTGATCATGTTCACAGGTGCTGAGTTCCCTCAAATTAGTTAAATTTTATTTCACAGAGGAAGAAGTTACTTTGAATCTGAGACACCTAGAATCAATGCTTGCAATTTTCTAACAATCCTGTAAATTAAAACTTTTGACACTTACTCATTAGCTGAAGTCTCATCAGCGGAATCACTAAAATTAAAGTCAACAAGAGTACCACGGGGTATAAAAAGCCCTTTCAACTCCAGACTTCCAAACTTTCGAAAAGAATATAAACATCAACATTTTATTGCCCAAGTAACACTACCATGGGCACTACGAGCAATGTATGTAATTGCACTAATTTCCTTTTTAACTCTGACCYGTACTCTGCACATCAGCTGCTCAAATTGCCACAGAGCTTCAAAATTTCTGATAACAATTCAAGATTTGTGGTAACAGCTCTTCTAGCACACGCAACTTCTGTGGGTGCTTTTAAGAGGACTATACAATAAAAGCTTTTATTATTATTATTTCTTAAAAACATTTTGCTTATCTTTCTRTTTACTGGAAACATGTTCCAGAGAACAATTGTAATGAATAAGCTAAGCTACAGATTCAGAATTGCTGAAAGTCGCATAGGAAGAAAAAAAGCTCTGAGATACAAGGGAAAAGTTACATTTATATTCRGATTTTGAATTCTGCATTTGTTTAGTGTAAAAAAAAAAAATGTACCGTTTTACAAGCTAAACCTTAGACATTCACTCCATCCTGAAAGCAACTACAGAATGTAAAACTTCTGCTACAAGTTTTGGAAACACTGTGTTTCATTCTTCACCCTTTGAGCTGATCAGCTGGGACTCTTGGGAAGCTTCCCTTTTTTGGTACCTTTTCAAAGAATTTGTAACTTCTTCCCCTCATGAACCTATTTTTTCCAGGCTCTTTGACTTCCTTCAAAGCAAGGAGGTAGCTCCTCAGCGCTTCCTCAAAGGTCAAAGGTGTACTAGAACCACTGATGAGCATCTCAAAGCAAGCATAAAAATTCCTAGACCATAATTTTCAGTAGCAAAACAGTTTTCTGATCCCAGGGCTTAGCTACCATAGTATCAAGCCATGCTAAGAAATGCCCAAGGGTGGTCCCCGTGGTATCCACCAGCCGCTTGGAGCACAGCTCCCGCGTCCCTACTGCCACGTGGATGTTCTGGGCGCTTTAGGGCTTCTTGAGGCCATGAGCAATCAGGCAGCTCATCTGTCCGGCTGAAGTCACCCAACACACACAGAGGTTTCCTGTACCGAAGGAGAAAACAAGTCATCCAAAATCACCAGCCCCAGCTAATGTGTTTCAAAGTTGGCATTACACCTCCTCTTTCTCCCCACCTTCCCAAGAAACCCTAAGTTTCTTCTCTGAGCCTGAACTCCCAGGTGACAACCAGAAAGCTCCTCCTAATACCACTGAGCTCCTTCTACACTCTGAGTAGAAGAGGGGCATAATACCCAGGTGCTCAAACCTGGCCTGCTTTCTGGAACTTCATCTAGGTACTTGTGTAGATGTTCATACTGTACAGATGAGTTGACTATTATTCCAGAGCAATCAGAATGTACCAATTCCAGGAGGTTAAGTGGTAATGAAATGATTTGTAAACTTCTTGTGAGAGAATTTCTTCATTATCAAGAACTGCCACAAGTCTGAATGGCAAATATTTGAACTGAAGATCTGCAGCAACAGTTTGCTACTGATTCTCTAATGCGTCTATTTARAAGGAGACCTAAATTTTCTTATGGTTGTAAGTTAAAACCTTTAACACTAGTCCCATTAAAATAAACTGCCAAAAGGCACTGGCTTGGTAGGTCAAGAATTCTAGAGCAACTTGCCAAGATACACACAAAAAATAACATATTCTGTGTTAGGAAAAGGCTTGTAAATAATTCAGCCAAGATGACATGAGCTACAGCATAAGGATTCAATGACATCCTAACCTTTGAAATAAGTATATATTAGTATATAGTAGCGTATATATTACTATATATTAGGTCCAGAATCAGTAATTTATTTTAAAGTTGCCAYTGAAGTTTAGGTTTTATGTTAAGATGGAAAGTGAGAGTTCCTTAGAAATGCCTCATTTACAATAACGTATGAAAACTTCCGTAAGACTTGCCCATAAAGAGAATTTAAAAAAACCTCCAATACATATAACTGTTTTCCATTCCTGACGTATACAACCATGACGACTGTCTACACATAACGAAATACACATTTGCCTTGACTTGCATAAATAAGGAAGTGGAAATTTATAAGGAAATTTATATCCCAGCAGGGCAATAACTAAAAGGGCAAATTTCCTAATTTATTTTGCTGCTTTCCATATCCATTTTTTTCCAGCCATTGTCAGTGAATGGAAAATGAAGCTATTATAATAATTGCTATATAGGCAAACAGGCCGGTGAATATGGATACACCTCACCCCAAAGATGAGAGTCTGCTCATCCCGTCTGCCTTCCTATAGATATGAGCAAGCGATGACTGAACACTGAGCAGTAAACCCGGTCCTAAGCAGAACTGACGAGGGCAGCCCTTGAAGTGAAGCACCCTCTTCCCTCTCCCTGCTCGTCCAAAGGGAGGGTTGACAGACCAGGAAGGAACAGACCAGGACCAGACCAGACCAGGACCAGACCAGGAAGCCCCAAACACTATCCCTTAAACAGTATTTCTTGGAAAATATAAGCCAACTGTTGATGAACTTAACTGTTTAGCAATCTGAACATATTAGGACACTAGTTCATTAACCTAACTTGGTACCTGCACTGTTTTGACATTAGATTACAGAAAAGGGTGAGAAAAAAAGGGCTATCTTCATACCAAAGTACCTATGCTGCCTAGTATCTGATAGACAACGGCATTTGTTATGCCTGGTGTTTGTAAAGGCATTTATAACATTAAAAGAGTCTGCCCTTGCTGTATAATCTGATGCAAGTTCCCATAAGCTGTTCCTATCAGGACCAAAAAGCACGGGAACATGCACAACACCGTTAAGTTGGTGTGAGCAAAAAAATTCTACCACAAGCGTACAGCCAACTTTAAATTTAACTTTTTTACTAAGAAGTGGTATACCATGATCTCCAGCAAAAAAAAAAAAAAAGTACCACATACCAGTGAAATAAAAAAAACCAAGACCTATCAAATAGGTAAAATTTCTGTTCAAGGCTCTAGTGTTTTTAGACAGGAAATTTAGTAAAAGAGTGTTGCAACACATTTTAAGTCAGTTTCGCTGACACCGAGTTCAACAGATTCATTCTTCTATTTCTGTATATCACATTTTATGCAAATTCCACCCAGGTGCATAACAAACTAAGACKACTTTCTGCAAAGAAAGGCTATTTAGCTTTGAAAGCTGAATTGCCCCGCAACCAGCCACTAACTGAGCCTGGCAACAAGAACACGGSACACTGCATCAAGTTCCTTCCTGTGGCTGAGAAATACTGATCATTGGAGGAAGCAAAAGCCAACACTGTGTATTTCTGGCCCTGACGGGCA